GCGCTAATTTCCTTAGGAATCAAAGATCGTAAGTTTACCTCTATCACGGGTGCCTGATATTCTTGAATATTTTTAATCTTTTACTTTTAATTGTAAAAATCGCAGTGAAGAATGAGTTAATTTACACGTTTTCCTTAATTAAAAGCACTTTCAAGCTGTGTTAATTGCGATTTAGCTCAAAATTAATTAAATTTAGTCCAGAAAGAGGACAAATTTTTTGTAAAAGTCGATTTTTTTGTCATTTTGTGATTTTAGCGCGGGTTGATTCGGAGCATTGCGCTTAATAAATTATGCAAATTCATCTCTAGGAGAGATATTTAAGCCACATCCCGAGCGAATATCTCAACCCGCGCTAATTTCCTTAGGAATCAAAGATCGTAAGTTTACCTCTATCACGGGAGCCTGATATTCTTGAATATTTTTAATCTTTTACTTTTAACTGTAAAAATCGCAGTGAAGAATGAGTTAATTTACACATTTTCCTTAATTAAAAGCACTTTCAAGCTGTATTAATTGAAAGTAAGCTCAAAATTAATTAAATTTAGTCCAGAAAGAGGACAAATTTTTTGAAAAAGTCGAATTTTTTGTCAGTTTGTGATTTTAGCGCGGGTTGATTCAGAGCATTGCGCTTTATAAATTATGCAAATACATCTCTAGGAGAGATATTTAAGCCACGTCTCGAGCGAATATCTCAACCCGCGCTAATTTCCTTAGGAATCAAAGATCGTAAGTTTACCTCTATCACGGGAGCCTGATATTCTTGAATATTTTTAATCTTTTACTTTTAACTGTAAAAATCGCAGTGAAGAATGAGTTAATTTACACATTTTCCTTAATTAAAAGCACTTTCAAGCTGTATTAATTGAAAGTAAGCTCAAAATTAATTAAATTTAGTCCAGAAAGAGGACAAATTTTTTGAAAAAGTCGAATTTTTTGTCAGTTTGTGATTTTAGCGCGGGTTGATTTAGAGCATTGCGCTTTATAAATTATGCAAATACATCTCTAGGAGAGATATTTAAGCCACGTCTCGAGCGAATATCTCAACCCGCGCTAATTTCCTTAGGAATCAAAGATCGTAAGTTTACCTCTATCACGGGAGCCTGATATTCTTGAATATTTTTAAACTTTTACTTTTAATTGTAAAAATCGCAGTGAAGAATGAGATAATTTACACGTTTTCCTTAATTTAAAGCTCTTTCAAGCTGCATTAATTGCAAGTAAGCTCAAAATTAATTAAATTTAGTCCAGAAAGAGGACAAATTTTTTGAAAAAGTCGATTTTTTTGTCATTTTGTGATTTTAGCGCGGGTTGATTCAGAGCATTGCGCTTAATAAATTATGCAAATATATCTCTAGGAGAGATATTTAAGCCACGTCCCGAGCGAATATCTCAACCCGCGCTAATTTCCTTAGGAATCAAAGATCGTAAGTTTACCTCTATCACGGGAGCCTGATATTCTTGAATATTTTTAATTTGTTACTTTTAATTGTCAAAATCGCAGAGAAGGTTGAGTTAATTTACACGTTTTCATTAATTAAAAGCACTTTCAAGCTGTATTAATTGCAATTAAGCTCAAAATTAATTAAATTTAGTCCAGAAAGAGAACAAATTATTTGAAAAAGTCGATTTTTTTGTCAGTTTGTGATTTTAGCGCGCGTATATCCAGAGCATTGCGCTTAATTAATTATGCAAATTCATCTCAAGGAGAGATATTTAAGCCACGTCCCGAGCGAATATCTCAACCCGCGCTAATTTCCTTAGGAATCAAAGATCGTAAGTTTACCTTTATCAAGGGAGCCTGATATTCTTGGATATTTTTAATTTTTTACTATTAATTGTCAAAATCGCAATAAAGAATGGGTTAATTTACACGTTTTCATTAATTAAAAGCACTTTCAAGCTGTATTAATAGCGATTTAGTTCAAAATTAATTAAATTTAGTCCAGAAAGAGGACAAATTTTTTGAAAAAGTCGATTTTTTTGTCATTTTGTGATTTTAGCGCGCGTTGATTCAGAGCATTGCGCTCAATTTATTATGCAAATTCATCTCAAGGAGAGAAATTGAAGCCACGTCCCGAGCGAATATCTCAACGAGCGCTAATTTCCTAAATAATTGCAAAATTGAAATTTTTGCATATATATGAAAGAAAGCACCAATGCTTTTACACTCTGGGTTGATTTTGCTCAAAAAAATTATGCAAACCTTATTATATAATAAAATTTGCAAACATTTTTTCCAGTCTGAAAAACTCATAATTTGTAGGTATTAATGAAGCCACCTTGGCAAGGCTCCTCTTTCTTCTGACCGCAGATGCTTTTATTACCACATTGTAGGCGCATAAGTAGCACTTAATCTTCGCACGGTGCATCAAGTGTGGCCGAGTTGCGGCTTACACTAGATACTATGGCTATTTTTGCATCATCCACTCGAGTGATCTTGAACAGCAGCAGCGGGCGGATGACTTTGATAGTGAAACGCATCAGACGATGTGTATTGTATGTGTGGCTGTGCGTGCAGCACCGCGTGCACCTGCTTAGCAATTTGATATCTAATGATTTTTAAATTGTATTGTCTGCGCAATTTTGCCTCTCGACGCTTGCGATTAGCGAAAGCAAGGTGAAGTGCACAACTTGTTTTCTAGAATGTTTGCATAAATGTGCATGAGCTTCTGATACTACAAAAAAAAATCAGAGTTTCTGCCCAGTCATAAACTTAATAGATTTATTATGCAAAATTTCAAAAGAAAAATTCATGGGATTTTTGGGAAAATTAAAAAATGATATTTTCATTGTGAAATCTGAAAAAGATACTCAGTATTTTTTTTTTTTTTAATAAAAATTTAAAAGCTCGTAATAATCTTTGAAAACAATACCCTCACTTCCCAACAATAAGTTTGGCCGTGGCGCGTTCTTCTTCAAAATTGTCAAGCCTGCCCTCAAAATTTACCCCTCAAGTAAAATCACTCCCTCTGCAAGGAGCATTTTGTGGCAGCAAGTCAAGGTTTATTTTTTATTTTTAAAATGTCTAATATTTCTTCTTTTTTTCCAATTGTGTGGATTTGTCTTCTTTTTGATGTCGGGCGTTTTGAAAGTCATTTGCTACATGTATAATGTAAACATTTTACTCTTTTTCCCTAAATAAAAATTTCAGCATGATCAAGAAGAATAAATAATTAAATAAATAAATAACTGAACAAAAACCAGGTCAACCGAGGCTCACTGCGGCGGATGGGTTCTTTTTTATCTTGGGTGTTTTTCAAAATTCTTCCTAGTGGTGGTGCCGTTTTTGCCAAAATTTCCTTTCTTTTCAACAATTGAATGTGACGTAACAATTTTGACAAATACACAGTAATAATAATAGTTATAATTTTTTTCACGGTAAATTTTTGTATCGTACTTTGTTTAAAATTATGCTACGTATTTCAATTTGTACAGAAATAAGAGGTTGAGCCTTTTGCCCTCAAAAAATTCAATTCCCTCTCAACCGTTGATTGTATTTCAATACAATTTGAATTTTTTTTTACAATTTAGACAAAAAATAATAAAGATAAAAATTTTTAACAAGAACAAACATACATTTTTTTTATAGAAAGGATAATCCGAGAAAATCGTTAAAATTTTAAACTGAAAAATAAGAGTTTAGCAAATTAAATTATTTGTTAAACAATATGGTATCCAAGTTTGGAAATAAATTGCACCAAATTTGCATTATTTTAAGGAGAATTCCATTGCCTTCTCATTGTGATTCACAGATGTAAAATAATCGATACACGGCGGTGGAGAAAATTATTCAGGAAGGGCGAGTGAGTCAAGCTCATAGCTCGCAGGCGGTGTTATTTTCATCAAGTTTTGCATTGAATAATAAGTGGAATTATACTTACTAATCATTTCCTCAAAGAAACGCAAATACCGGAGTTGAAAAAAAAAAATAGATAGTGCGCTTTCTATCAGGAAAATGGCACGTCAGGGATTGAATTTCGAAGTCGTTTGTGGTTTATTTCACAGCCTGGAACAGACGCACGTAGCTCCTGGCCTACTTTTTTGTCGTATCAGTTTTTCTCACTCAAAAATCGGAAAGCGATCATTTTTTGACAAGGGTGTCGTTGCGCAGTGCATCCTTGCGCCTGTACAAAATAATCGGCACCGATCAATATAACGGTTGTAAAAACACGTGTCAATCAATCGTTAATCACCCCTATAAATTATGTGGATTGGGACACATTATATTTTTATATCAACAAAATAGAGGTCACCAAGGAAGAATTTAAAATAGAGCACGAAGTAAAAAAATTTTATGCCTGGATGTTATCAGAAATCTGGCCTTGGTTGTTTCCGTGGGAGTCGAGAACCTGATTTGCACAAATTGCATAAGAATATCAGATGCGTTTTTGGATGAGTCGTTTTTGACGTCAGTGGCGGTCAGATTTATTGGTGCAATCAAAATCAACTGCCGTTAAAAAGAGAAAAGACGATAAAAAATAAATAAAGAATTATTAGAACAATCTAAATATATAATATTTTGAAAATTAAAGTCCTGCTCACGCTTCATTTTTTCTACAGATTTTTTCAAAAAGCTTTTCCTTGAATCAAAGACAAAAATCGGAGCCCATTCAAGAATAAAAAAAATTTTATCGTCAAAATTGCATTTAATTATGTTCCTATTTCTGTGTTTGTTGTCGAGTTTGAAATGTTATGAATCAGTTTGAAGCAAAATTTGATGATTAAAACTTCCCAGAACAAAGGTTAACGAATTGGGCAACGCATGAAAAACCCGGCAATAATTGCACGTTTCGCGCAAGCCTCGCGTTTTTGTGCCACTTTGCATGAGTCGGCGGCGCGAGATGCGCGGCTGCGGCGACGTGAAAATGAAAGTGAGCCATTGAAAGCGCCGCGCGCGCGTCCAAGTTTAAGGTTAAAAGTGACGTGCCGGTCTAGCCATGCATCGGGGAACCACGTGACACCTGACGTAACCGCCGCGGTACCTGAGCTCAGGTCGGCCGAGCAGGCGGCAGTCGCTCCAGCGGCACTGAACGCACCGGACAGACCTCGCAGCCGAGGTAGTGGCCGGCGACAAAGCGCACGCGAGACTTTCAAGAGAATTTCAAGCCAGGACAGACCGTTGTCTCCAACAATGGTAGTGGCCGAAAAAGCGACCGACCCCAAGTCGAGCACCACCATGCTCTGGGTGCAGGCGTCCGCCCTCCAGCAGCAGTTCCACCAATGCGAGGTCCACGTAAGTGCAGCGATTTTTTCTTTTAAATATTGCGATTTTGAGAATTTCAATTATTTTTTTGGCATTGTTCGAAAGAAAATTTATTGATTTTTTTAAGGGGTTTTTGTACTGAAACTGAGCAAGAAAAACTTTGCTTTAAAGAATGGAATACATACCAAAATTTTGACTTTCAATTTTAATTAGGAAATTAATTTTAAACGACACAAAAATTGTGCCTTTTCCTGTTACAAAAAAAAATAAAAAACTTAATTACGACCCGGAAAATTAGGGTAAACAGAGCAACAGACACTAATCTCCACTAATTTGAACAGAAAAACACACGCTCACTTGAAAAAAAGCTTATCGAGTTTGAAAAGATTTAATTACACGAAAATTCAAACAAGTAAAAATTATTTAAAACCCAAAGAAACCACTCGAAACGGGAAATAATTAAATTAGTACTGAGACTAATCGCCTTTTAATTTTGGGAAATTTTCGCTCTCAATTAAAATTGTTTATTATCACAACAGGAATTTTTCTAACTTTTTTACACCGGCTTTGTCTCAAATATCTCGTTGTCTCAGAACGTAATTCCACGTCAAGGCGATTAGTCGCAGTACTAATTTAAGTAAAAATTACCCAAATAAAAATTCATTTCATCATTAAAATTGTAAATTGCACATATTTACCAATTTGTATTATTATTGACAAGAAGATAGATAAATAATTTTTAATTTCTATTTTTTGTTACTATAAATTTTTGTTCTAAAATATTTTGGAAATAGATAACTTTAAAAGAAAAACACTGAAAATGAATAGCGTTGACATGTTTAATTTTGTAATTATCTTGTTACTAATTTTTTCGATTAAATTAAAACTGACCTTTAATACTCTGCGTGTGATTTATTTAATCCAAATATATTATGGCGGTCACAGAAGCTTCCGTTTGGCATTGGCAGTGAGATCTGCCTCTGATTACGGAACCTTTCCTTTCAATTTCACGCGAGGTGGTCACTCTTGATTTCTCTTTTGCGCTTCGCCAGTTGCATAATTGCGGATAAGTCAGCGTTCAAGATGAGCAGCATTGGCTTATGCAATGACCGGAGAATAATTTATTCCGTTTCCTCGAAAACAATGAATGCCAACGGTAATGAGCACAAAAGGTCAGTTATGCATCAAGCGACTCATCTTGCCATCACCGGCATAAAAATAATAAGAAAACTTTATTTAAAAAAGAAATCGTAGGAGATTCGCATTTAAAATACATAACATTATTTTCAGAACTAAAATTCAGTTTTTTTTTTCAGTGTTACAAAGACACATAAAAAATTAAATCAAAAATACACAAATTGACTTTTATTTATTTATACTTTTTATACAAAATTGCAGCCCACGAATATTTACTCAAAGCAAGCAAGGGAGCGACATTTTGCAAAATTGTATATATCATCATTATTTTGGCATGAATGCAAATAAAATAAAATGGACTTCCGCACGCGCGAGTTGATTCAGTTGATCAAGGGTACAATTTTTGGGCCAGAAACTTTGTTTAATCAGAACGCAGAGGGCAAATATTTGCATCCCATGCAATGAGGAAGCTGCGCGTCGCGAATACAAAAAGCGGTGGCGTTTGAAATAAAATATATGCTCACTTGCCGGGCTGACGAAAAAAATTATATAAAACACAAAAATGCACGCGCCTCTCAATGTCAAGGTTCAAACAACACTCCTTTTTGGCTCTGGCTGGGCAAACACTCGCTCGCCAAAAAGTAAATAATACAAGAGATGTGCACGTTCGCACAAAAAGTACGTGAGTGAAATTCCTAAATTGTTTCGGCGCCCTTTTCGTTACAATATATTCAAGCAAGTGAATTTTAAACTGATATTATTTGCTTGTGAACAATGCAAATAATGAGCTTTCATGAGCGCTGCCGGTTTATTCAAAGGCACAATATTTAAATTACGATTTAAAATTATTTTCATTTAAAAAATAGCTCTTGTCTTATTAGTTTCAATTTAAACAAGAAAAAGAAATTCAGATAGAATGTGCAATAAAAGTTTATGTATTTTAACAGTAAATTAAGGAACTTTTTAAACTTATTTAAACAAACAAACAGATCGTTTTTTTTATTAATTTAATTAAGTGACTTTAATGTGAAATACAACAATAAATATTGCCATATTTATTGTTAGTTTCAAATGATTTAATGAGTTTTTTTTAACTTCCAATACAATTATAATTGGAAGTATTTTAATAATTCATTTGAATACGTCCTGTCTCTATAAAACTTGAAGTAATAAATCTTCCACATCAGCTAGGCCAATCGAGTTTCTGTCAAGTGCAAATTACTACATAATATCACAATCCAATTCCTGGTTTATGCAAAACAATGGTATGAAATGAATGCAACTTAATGTAGAATTAATCCAGATCGTGCATTTAGCAAGTAATTCGCATCCGCCTCTGCTCGCTGCACTCATTGATCCGTGCTTGTGTGAATCACGCAGCAAAAGTCGAGAGATAATTGCATCCGCGTGGTGGCAGCCGGCGCGGATTTGCAAAAGGAATCTCGCAGGAAAACGAGTCCGAATGCATCAAAGTTTGTTCGAAAATGTCTCGGGGGCGTTTTGAGTTTTCCGAGTGCCGTCGCCGACCCTGATTCTGTATGTAATAGTTGCTGGTAATTACGAAAGGTACTCTCATGATCCAACTTAAAGTACATACCCGGTCGTAAATCCTGACAACGAGACACACTTACGAAGTCTATAAAATGCCTGTTGTAAATCTTCAGGAAGAAATCGCAGCCAGATCGAATAATCTGTTGTGCTTTTATATAAGGATTTTAATTTGCTTTTAATGGATTCACGATTCTGCTACTTGTATTTTTATTCGTTTTTAATTACAAGCTACCGTGGAAAGTATAAAAATAAATATGTGTGCAATCTATTTATACATTTTTACCTTGAAACAAAGTGCAACAATTTAGCTATCGGCAAAATCATCACGAATCTTAATTATAAGTTTACATTTTTATGACAAAGATGGGATTGTGTGATTTTTAGGAAGTGAAAAAGTGCACGACTAATTGCGGCCAATTATGTTGTATTATCTTCACACGTTGTAAAGTAATTTTAGTTTCAGGTGCACGCCAAATTGAGGAAACGCTAATCGGCTTTTGTCTGCTCAAAATAATCGTTTTTAAACCAAAATATAGAATATTTTGCTGATTTTCTTAAATCTATTGTAATTGAATTTTGCTCGATTAGGTTTATTATTTGACCAACTTAATTAATTTGAAGCAGGACAAAACCGTAATTAATCTCGCTCGGTGATCAATTCTAGAAAGTGAACTCGATCAGCAGCACAAATGAACTCGTTGGAGCAAGGAAAATAGCACTCGATTGTCTCCGCAGCACTGCGCGGCGGATTAATTTATCACGTCAATTTTTTCCGTCGCTATTGAAATAGTTTGTATCGCGCAATAATCGTATGCACGCGCTGATTGACGGGTTCGTCACGGCGAGGTGATTTCTGCCGATTTGCGTCCAGATAAGCCGGTCCGAGAACAACAACCGAGAGATGTGATCGGCGAGAAGTTGTAGAAAAAAAGAAAGACCAACGACTTGCGGACGACCTTTAGTGTTTTGAAATTAACTAACGCACTTTCAGATCTGTTTACTTCCAGTGTGTGTAAGGTTGAAAGTCACTCCGAGCCATCCGGAGGTGTTTGCCTTTTTTATATACTTGTGAGGCTACTTTGACCAGCTGTTTTGACATTCACTGAGAAATAAACAGCCACATTTCTCAATAAAAATTTAATAACAAAAAATTATAGTTATTTGTAAGAAAGCAGTGGCATTTTAATTTATTCATAAAAAATTGTGAATTAATTTTGAAATTTTTCAGATATTAAAAAAAAATATTAGAAATGTTTTTTTTTTCGTTAGAATTTTTGAGCAAACGATTTTTTTTTAAATTTCAAGTTTTTCTTAGATTAAAAGATAATTTCAACGTTAATAATTTAGTCCAAAAAACAGAAGCTTGCGTTATTGAGAAATTCATATCACTGAGCTAGAAATCTAAAGAAAAAATATTTGGAAATTTAAAAATTGTTGAAAAGTTAGAAATCAGATTGATTTATTAAAAAAAAAAAAATAATAATAATAATAATTCTGACATTTAAAATAACTGTTTTACTGATTAAAAATAATTTAAAAATATCCTTAGGTTTATAGAGGCACAATTTACATTCAGATTTTCCAAAGAAAGGTATTATTTTTTGCTATTTTATTTGTTACAATCAGACTAAATTTAATTGAATTTTCCACATTTAACAAATAAATTACCTTTGAATTTGAATTGAATGCATCGGCTTTTAACGCGAGTTAAAGTAACAAGGCAGCAACATTGTTGAGCAACTGCATAATTAGTCAATTTCATCCCCTGGTGACCCACAAAGCCAGTCGGTCACACACAATGCGTTCGTTCGCCGGCTCGATAAATCACGACTGGCCGTGGCTCGTTTCCCATTCACAAGAGCAGCGAGCGCCTCCGTGCGTCTAACCGCTCTTAAGAACAATGATAAATCTGTCCCAATTAATCGAGCATGTGATTTCAAATTAAAATGCGCCGTTTGAAACAAAAGTATCAAGTGCCGGTCGCGGTTGGGCAACCGCGAAACGCCGACCAGAGCGTTTAATTAGACTTTTGTTGTTGCAGCTCGCCGGCCGGTTGGGCAACTTTGAAGTGCATGTGTCTTAGCTAAACAGCTCCGATCGCGTTCGCACACCTGAGATAATTGCCACACTCGGGCCGCAAAAAACTTGCGTGAATTCTTTTTTGGCAAACCTCGGGTTTTTACATATTTCTATATAATGCGCCAACTTGCTCAAGATTCTCCAACAGTCGGTGACGCAAAGACACATCATGAGAAAAAGATACGGCGACGTGCCATTGTCCCCATGGGAATGTCGCAGAACCTTGATTTTGCACTACCTGGCTTTTTAGGCCAATTTCTGCCAACTTTGTTCATAATTCATCTCTTGCAAGCAGAACTTGTGATTTTATTTTTCTAATGCACAATTAATAGCAATAAATTATTATTATATTTGTTTATTGAAGTGCAATTATCACATTATTTAATTCAATTTAGGAAAAATAAAATTTCGTATCTAAGACAAAAAAAATACTGCGGCGTGTGGGGTCTTATTGATCTCAGAAGTTTTAGCAAAATATTTGCTAATGATGGTGCCGTTTTTTCCTAATATTCCTTTTTTCAACAATTTTATTTTACAAAAAATAAATGTTAACAATGCGATTTGGCCAATAAACAAAAATGATAAAAAAATAAATTTTCTAACTAAATTTTAAATGATATAATAATATGTTTGAAGAAGTTGACACTCGAGGAGATGATCATGGAAATGAAGATTCGGGCTTTTCCTCGTTGCAAAAAATTGTTTTTATTCAAAAACAAACTTCTTCATTTCCATGATATAATAATACTTCATGAGTTTTGTCCAAGTAAAAAGTCTTTAAGTTGCATATTTAAGCGTCACCTTCCGAAAACATTACATAACCAGGAAATTGCCTTTTGTGTTATATTACAATGTTTTTTTTTTAAACTTCAGTGCAAAAGTCTTCCGCCCAGATTACCCATTTTTTTTACCTCGTCTTTTGTGGCGACAAAAGAGCGTCTGCAAGCGCGGCTAATCTCCTATCCATACAAAATTATCCGATGCTGATGTGCAAAGACCTTCAGTCGAGAGTCGGCCTTTGCGCGGAGCATTATTATCTTCTATTAACGAGAACATCCCTAATTGCGAGCGACTCATGCTCGGACGTTCAGATTTTGTCGCGAGATGCACTTGCTTGTCGGAAGTCAAAAGTGATGAATGCGGAGGCAGAAACGACGGCTAATTACGGCGACTCCCTCATTTAGCGTTACCAACACTTTGAAATTACTTTTATCAGACTGAACGTCATTTTTCGCACTTCACACGAGAGAGTAATTAAATTAAAAGCGGCAGCTGGTCGTGACTTTCGGCGAGTTGAACGCGCGGGCAACTTTGTATAATTGAATTTTGACCTTGATTGCGGCGAGTCTGAAGATGGCACACATTTTATACTAAGGAAACAATATTTTAATTAAATTAATTATTACTTTTATGATTATCTAGATATTTGTTACAAAATTATAAACTTTAAGCGTCATTTTGAGATTTTAGAATATAAATTAACTATTTTTTATTTAATTGTTAAATATGCTTTAAAATCTTACGCTCAAAATATTTATTTAACGATAAATAGTTTATTAAAAACTGCGTCGATTATATTCCGATGAAACAAAAAATTTATCCGATGCCAATTTAAATTGCCCGTCGTGATGAAAAAAAAAATTAATTTTCAATTGCACGAAATCAATTGCCATGGCAATAAAAGCTTGACCTCGATTGACTCGCCATTGAACCTGAAACGTCCGCAGGTGCGAAAAGTTATTTCACGCGATCAGGCGTTTTTTTTTTATTAGGCGGTGCTGAGAATTTTTGGCTTGCACATCCTGATCGGCCCGGTTACTCAATTCCTGTCATGCAAAATAAACTCACAAACGAGCGCCCTCAGCGCAGTGCAGACGACGCGTTGAATGGGTTTTTTGCCATGCACGCGCTGGAGTGTCCGTTTTTAACAAAAGCCTCATCACGATCTGGATTTTCTGCACAATCGGCCGCGGGATAATTGGACCGGCTGCCGGCGCATCCTGCTCGAACCCACGCAACCTGTCCAGGGAACCCCAACAATAAAAGCACACAGTTTTGTTTTGAATTTTAATTACATTTGAAAGTACTTAAAGTAAAACTAAATTAAAATTTTAAATTGTAACTTTCTTTTTAAATAATCCATTTTTTTTAGCTTAAAAATGCAAACTTTGTTATTTGGATTATTTTTTTTCCAATTAATAAATTTCATAAATTTTAAAATTATGCTCCAACAAAAAAATTGTTGTTGATCATTCTTCAAAAATCAGAATTGAAAAATTAACCTAACTAAATAAAGCTTCACAATCAGTTGCTTTATCTTTCGTCTTTTAATAATGCTCAGCTTTGAAACTTCCTCGTTATGAAATTTGCATACTCCAATGTCACGAAGAAAATGATATCGGTTGCGTTATGTTTCTCAATCCAACGACATGTGTAGGATTAAGTATTTAACATCTACATTAAACCGTGATTTGCAATATTCTTTCTTCTTTTTTCTTTTGCTTAGACGGTTTGCGGCTTACAAGAATCTAATAATAATTCGTGAAACCGGTCGACAAGCTTGTGGAAATTAGAGCCAAAAACCAACAAAACCGCAAGCAAGAAGTGCAAGTTTCGATTAACCAAAGCCACAAAATAAATAATGGTTTCTGAAAGAAAAAAAAACTAGAAATTTTATAATTGTATTTTAAATTAAATTTAAGATTTTTACTTTTAAAATCAGCGGCGCGGTTCCCTCTTACGAGAATATGCACGTCAATTCATTGATGGGCGATTTTTTTTTAGCTCGCTCCATTAACGTGTCAGTTACGTAAAGATCCGGCAGTGGATTATTTTTGTTCTGCGGCTGCATCACGCTCGACTGCATCAGCTACTGGCCGGCGACTTATTTTCTATACATTTAGAGAGCGACCACCCGTTCACCTTGCGCGCCGATCGAAATTCGGCCGAAAGAGACACACGATGGGTGCCGCGCCCTGATCTCTTGCAATTGCATCCATTCGGAGACCTCTAAGGTCGCTCTCTACGAATATACGCCCTGGGCACGAATTTCGCACATCCTCATTCCAGACAGAAACTTGTTTGTTTTGGATTGGGCGACGTCTGCCGAACACACTCCAACCGCCTCTTTTCATTTTTCAGCATCAGAATTATTATTATTTAATAATGAAGCTGTTTTGAAATTCGATCCCAGTGATATTTTATACCGCACGTACTGACGGCAGGTGCGGGCTGCGAAGGGAAGAAGATCCGCCTCGATAATGACCGTGAATTGTTTCACTCCAGCCGCCTTTGTCGCATCGGTGTCTGTTATCATATCAACTACATACGCTGTAACGATTTTGATGCGCCAGTTTCAGCAAAATATCTCTAAATAATTCAATTTAATGCAGCCATAATTAATGCTCATTTTCATATGGAATTATTTAAAATCTAGAATTTACAAAAGAAATTTGGATTAATTATCATTCCGTCTTTAAAAGGGATGGCAATGGTTGAGCTTGTAATTGAAAATTAATTTAATCATAAAACTGATTCAAATATAAAAAGTTTGATTGTAGTGTTTGAAGAAATTGACACTGATTGTGAGATGATCATGGGACTGAAGAAATCGGGCATTTTCTTTGTTGTAAGAAAAATTGTTTTCATTAAAAAACAGATTTTACCTCTACCAGTTTTCGGTCATGATCTGCGACAATATTTCATAAGCAAGAAAAATAGAAAAAAAATCAGTAAATTGAAGACAAAAAAAAAATTAAAGTACCAACCTATTTAGATTAGTATATTAAAATTTGTTGGTTTTAATATTTTAATTTGTGTGTTAAAATGTGGTGTTTTTTCAATTTACTTAATTTTTTATTGTATTTTTCATTTTTCTCCCTCATGAAATAGGGTCGCAGACCGTGACTGAAATTGGTAGATCCGTTTTGTTTTTGAATAAAAAAAATTTTTACAACGAGGAAATGCTCGATCTCTCTTCACTTTGATTTTAGTGAATTAGCATAATTTTGCAGATAAATTCAACTACCAAAAATTAGTGATTAATTTTAATTCTTTACTTCTAAAAGAAAAATAGCATAGATTATTTACCTATTAAAATTGTGCGTTTTAGGAAAAGGGCACCGAGTGGTACTACATCCCGCGTCCCTCCCTATCTCTTCCTTCGCGAACCTCGAGTCGTCGCGTGTCGGAGGACTCGTCAGGGAAACACAGCTGGAACAACTCCAGACACTCTAGTCTCGCCTTCTCCACGCACCCTGGCGTGCACGGCAACGGGGGCGCCTCGTCCTCTTCCGCCTCCTCGGCCAGTTCCCAGGTACGAAAACTTTTTTTAATCTTCAATCACGCATTGAATGAAACAAGGACGCCTGCTTTTGAACTCGAGCAAAAAACAAAAATCACCAGTATCATTTTGACTGCATGAAATTTGAATAACTGTTTGCAGATACCGATCGACGTGAAGCACATTATTAAAAAAAAACGTCCTTGCCTCCAGCGGGAGCACAATGCGAGGAAATCACGGCGATGCTTTTTGTTGGTAATTAGTAAAAAGGAAAGGCGACTGGAAACATTTTTTTTACTGTCGCGGTACATTATTGTAATTGTTTTCGCACCTGTTTTAATTTCCTGAAATTACTATATCTCCGCATAGGTCTGTTAATATGAACCGGGAAGTTTTTCTTTTTTGCTGCCTCTTCACGGATAATCACGATAAGAGCGGTCAATTTATGCTTAAAACGATTCGAGGGAAACTGTTTTTGCCGCAAAAAAGGGAAAGAAGGTGAAAAAATTTATGAACGCGGAACAAGTGACACAAGAAATTTATATCTAAACACTCTAATTAAATCACCCGGTCCACGCTCATTTTTGGTATTAAGAGCTGGTTTTTGTCGCGCATATATTATGACGGCGGCGCCAACTCTGGCGAAGATGAGACTTAACTAGATTTCTGGCGTTTCCTTTTAATTGGCCATTTGAAGGTCAGGTGCCGATGAGTCTGAATCACTTCACGTGAAAAATGTTGTCATATTTGGCGCTATTTTTAGAACTGGTTTGACCTTCATCCAAATGCCCCGTTTTGAAAACACGCGCGGGTTTCATTTTTAAATCGGAATTATTTTTTAATTATATTGATTCAAAAATCATTAAATATTAGTCGAGAATAAATTAGTTTAATTAATTTTCATTTCACCAATTTCCATTTAATTAACTGTTTATTTCTGTACATTTTTAGCTCAGTGACAACAGCGGCCAACCCTTGGTGAACGCCGCGACCTGGTTGCCCCCTCACCCCCCTGCACTCATCATCACAAAGGACGTGATTTCCAAGCACGTGAGTTTCAAAACGTTTTACTTTTTTGGTTGCATTCTGCACTGTTCTCGCGACACGACAGTTTAAAGTAGCAAAAAACCATCACGCCCTGACTGCGTGTTTAATTGTGGCGTTTTTGCTTTCATTATCACGAGGCGGGGTAATTAGCAGGAGGCTGCATCCTGATGCACTTATCTGTCGTCCAAGGCCGACTTTAATTTTGGCTGCTCCCTGTATTTACGCTTTCTGTTGACAAGTGTTCGCGGCAATCGTTTTATTACCCTGTTCAATTGCCGAAACGAGACAAAACTGGTCACGACAGAAACCTGATCATTACTCGTCAACCTTCCTTGAGAACTAAATTATACACTTTGAGTAAAATTTAATTGTTTGATAAAATTTTCAAAAATTTTGATTTTATCGGAAGTTGCTAATGAATTCAATTTTTTCCTGCTTCTAGGACCCTGAATTGGGTGGCGAAATTGCATCCGTCAGTAAAAAGTGCGACGCCGACAGCATCTCGCTGGCTTCGTCGACGCACTTCACCATGATCGGCGGCGCCAGTGCGAGAGGGCGCCGAAGAAGTGGCTGTTGCAGCCATTCACACCGAATCACAGCCCTCGTGCTCACCATGAGTGTCATTTTCCTAGTTGGTATCACCGTCGCAGTCATTCTTATGGAAAGTAAGTAAAAAAATTAATCAAAATGTTTTCAAAATATTAAAAAATTAAAAAAGCGTTTCCAATTAATCCTGAAATTCTTTAAAAATGATTATAATTGTTTAACAATATAAAATTTCCTGTAATTGAACGTTTTATGGTTGATGAATGAATCAACCAGGTTCAAATAGAAAATTTATTTAATTTATTTACTACTAAAAATATTGCCAAAAAGCATTATTTTTAAATTTTTTCTCTTAATCAGTAATTAATTTGTCAGGTGCAAGTGCAGCATCAATCTGTAATGACTTGTCTGATAAATGTATAAAAATGCAATAAAATAACCATTTTTTTTAAATAATTTTCAAACCCAACTCAAGGCAAACCTCTCCCATATCGGCTCCCATAACAGAGTCATTGCGATGTTCTGTTTTAAAATTTATTTTTTCACTTTAAGCGCAAATGGATTTAGCATCGCAATAAAATTCTTTAACACATTTTATTATTACTTTTAGTAATGAATGCTTTTCGTTGTTTCAGTGCGGATCAAGTACTACAACGTGCGGTGATGGCGGGTCGCCGTGGTCGTTCAAGTTGAGTGAGGCGCCTGGGCGCTTCGCTTGCGTGACAAGCTCGTGATCCACTGTGTGCTACTGTATTTTACAAATCCTTTAGTTTGTAAAAGAAAAACTTCGTCAACTGATAAATTTGGAAGCCTTAGAAGCACATTTATTTATTCTCAAACTTCTGTTTAAGTCTATTTATAAAAGTAAATAAAAACCACGGTGAAAATAAATATTCACAAACGAATGAATCAAGATTGTTTTCTTTTAGATAAAACTGAGATAAAACAAAAATCGTGTTTCAGTTATTTAAAATTAATTGTACGTATATATATATATATATATATATATATATATATATATATATATATATATATATATATATATATATATATATATATATATATATATATATATATATATATATATATATATATATATATATATATATATATATATATATATATATATATATATATATATATATATATATATATATATATATATATATATATATATATATATATATATATATATATATATATATATATATATATATATATATATATATATATATATATATATATATATATATATATATATATATATATATATATATATAAAAAATATCAACAAAAATTCCATTATTTTCACACCATGAAAAATATATTAAAAAAATATAAATTTCCACCTCTAAAAATTTAGTTCAGTTTAATGAAAGTTTTTACAACTCTTTCTTAAAGTTCATGAAAGATACATTATCTATAACCTTTTATTGTTGTTGTTTGTTGTTTTACTTAAAAATAAATGCAATTTTATATATTAAATTAAAAAAAACCTGCTCTTTTTTAATTATTGTTGGATTGTGGTTGTTTGCTATAAAATTCTACTTTCAATTTTGAACCCATGATGAACAAAATCCAATTTCTTTTGTTGTTGTCGAACATTCCAGGTCGCTCAAGTGCATTTTAATTAACGCATTATTTTCCTCTGCCGACCTTGTTCTTGCGGAGACAAAAACAGATCGGCGCCGCGGGTGCCGAAAATCCAAGCTGCGGGTTCAAATCCCACTTTCCTCAGACAAACGGTGTTTGTATAAAATAAATTATATTATTTTGTCAGCTTAATCCGTCAGCTGGCCAAGGACAAATAATTGGATCGCAAATCTTTGGCGCGAGCAAAAGGAGCAGGAAGTTGGCGGAGAAAATTAATTAATTAGAAGAAAGAGCGAGTCGCACCCGAGGCGATGACACGGGTTGCTTCATCGCGGCCTTCAGATGCGCACAAGGAAAAAGGCTGTTTACATAATTTGGACCATCGGGACCCTCCAAAGACGGACGGACGGCCTTCGGTGACCGGTCGGTCGGCTGGGGCGGCGGGGGTCAAAGCGACATTCCGCGGACGAGACGGAGCCTAAATGAAACGCGCGCGCCCACGAGTTATTTATTAGCATGCGTGGCCAGTCGCGCCTAAGAATTGATTCGGTTGACCCTTCAGACAGTGCCAAACAAGTCACAATTTGCTTTGGAATGTTTGTTTCTTTGTTTGAAAGGGTGAACTTGAACTATTTTTGCAATGGCACCATAAATTAGAAAGAAATTAATATATTTGAAAACTATTATTTTTAATCTTAAGAAACCTACAGATCATGAGATTTTACTTCTCAATTTATGCATCTCACAAATCAAATTTTTTGATCACATAGAAATTCTGGTCAAATTTTCTCTAACACGCAAAACCGGACAGACAGTTTTGCGCCGTCAATAGAGCAAAACGCGACACGCACCCTTGACCTAGTCATTGAGCAGATTCTCGGAGAGGCATTTTAATTCTCATAATTTGATGTCAGATTATTATTATAGACCGCGGAAGAACAAAAGTGCCAATTATCGCATCAGCGCTAAAATGTTAGAAGACGCTTTTGTGCCCAAATGCAAACTTCAGCTAAAAATAGAAGGCTGTGATCTCATCCTCAATTATATTTGCCTCTAAAATTGATTTATAGCTGCTCTGTGTTTTGCCGCCCATTATAAAACGATTAGCGTAAACATTCATTTTTTCTATTCTTAGACATTGAACTTCCCAACAGTGGTGATTATTCAAATTTAGTTAGGAGAAAAATTCCCATTATTTGTGACCTTTTAAAAGGAATGTAAATTTATAAAAGGCATCAGAAACATCAAAAAAGGGAAGAGACAGTACACAAACAAGATACTTGAACTGTGCTAATAAAAGGGACTCGGACTGCCCAGCGAAGACAGGGGACAAGGAGACCTGAATTTGACTACAGCACACAATTTTATCCTGTACAGAGACCGGTGCAAAGAAAGAGGCAAACTCCTGCAGCTCATTCATTGAATAATTATTTGTATAGTAACCTAATGACGCAGGCTGTTACTCCCGATTAAACTGACAATAATAATTACTTGTAATAACATTAATAAAAAGAACATATAAACATATCAAAAATTCATTCAATTCCTGAGCGACGGATATCTCGGATGAAGTCGGAAAGGGCATATTCGGACGAATTCCTTTCGAATGAAGGGCGGGGTCCACCCATCAACTGGCGCGATAATTTCCATTATTTTTTCTCGCTGGTAAATTACAAATTTGCTCCTAAACCACTTTTGTTTGCGCATTTTTATTATTAGAGTCGAGCATTTGGAAGCAATCATAAGAAAAAGGGCTGTACTCACCTCCACTTCCTGCAAGGTTTGGGTCCAGGTGAAGTTGTCAAAGTCGTATCCATTCCCAGCATTGGGCTGAACTTTTCCCTTGTCCTCTTCTTTCTCTTCGTCATCACTTTTGGAACCTTCCTCTTTGCTTTCTTCCTTCTGCTCAGCTGGCTTCTCAGATTTCTTGGTCTTTTCCTGAGAATTTTAATTAATAACATTTTTTTAAATCAAAATTCCCACAAATTTTAAAAGTTGCAGCAACTGAAATAAATAAATATTTCATGTGAAATAAATTATGCTCATAAACAGTAAAATGTCGATGATCCAACTGAAGGTTATGATATAATTACAATCCATATAGAAACATAATTATGCTTCATATTAAAACAGAAATTTACCTCTTCAATCTCCCTCTGGATTTTCTCCGCCTCCTCATCAGTCAGCTCGCGGACAGTGGCACCCTTTTCGGCAGATTTCTCCTCTTCTTCCTTCTTTTTTTTGGCCCTTTCTTGTCTGCGCCGCTCCTCCTCGGCAGCCTCAGCCTTTTTCTTCCGCCTCACCTCATCTGCACCCTTTGAGTGCTTTTTAAATGCATCCATCACCATCTTTAAATTCAAGAAATGTTATTTAAAAAATGCCTTTATCCAAATGCTTAAATATCATCTAAATTTGTTCATAAAGAAGGAACCTTTTCAGCCTGGCCATCAGGTCCGCCAATGTAGAAATCTGTCTTCCGCAGCAGAAAACCAAAAACTGTGTCCAACATCTGAAAATTAAAGCAAATGTTGTAAAAAAAATACAGGTTTTGACAAACATGCAGGATGCAGGACAAAGCTTTTTTGCAAAATTGTTCACCTCAGCAACTCCTCCTTCCATTTGCTGGGCCATGGAAAAGAGGAGAGCATCAAAATTTTCTTCTTGACTGCTCATTGTAGCAGAAATTTAAGTCGGAAAAGTCCAGAAAACCAGAAGAGGCGGCTTTGATTTGGAAAAGAGATCGGAATTCGAATGATGACAACGTGATTCGGCTCGCATTCAATTGTTCAGATTTGTTTGCCGCCAACAGCTGGCGAGGGGCGGGTCTGCTTAAAAACAACAACAACAAAGAAAACTGCATGCAACAGAAAGCTGCTTGTTATGCCTTGTTCTTGTTGACTTGCTGCAGTGAAATTAATTCTAATTAGCATAGTTTTAGCTACGATTGAGCTGTAAATACAGTTTTAGATTGATAATAATATGGAAAATCTGGAAAATATCTCTTTAGTCGTAAAACTCATAATCTTCAGTTTTTGCAGCGCTTTTTTGCCAGCAATCGTAAATTGGGTAATTCTTTGAACATGCAATCAAAAAAATCCTTATAAAAATTGTTTTACAGGTCATTGATTTAAAGCAGAGCAAATCAAGCAGAGAAAAAGAACTGATATCAGAACTAAGGACATTAAAAACCGATTTGGCAGGAATATCTATGATGGACGAGTTTGCCAAGCACGCAAAACTGCAAAGAAAAATAATTAAGACTCAAGAAGAATTAAAAACTGCCGGCATGGAATATATTACAAAATTATTATAATTTAATTATGTCTGTTCAAATACTTAGCCAATGCTCGGTCCCTGAACGCCACTAAGAACAAAGCAATTTATACGCAGATTGTGAATGCTGTCTTGGTGAGTTTCTGCTTAGGCAATTGATTTGATTCTTTGACTCTTTGTTTTAATTCAGGGCATTTACTTGATTTATTTGGTGTGGAACTTCAAGTTTGACCCTGTACTCATCATTCCGGAAGGCTGGCTTTACCCACTTGAAGGGATCCTCAGTTGGCCGACAGGCCAACCCGGTGCAATATCCGTAGCAGTCTGGCTCACTTTGTCTAGGACTAGTATTAGGGTTTTATCTAGTTTAAAATAAAAGAATTGTTTTTTTATACTCTATCCGAGTTGCGGTATAATATTTTGAATATTTTATTCATATATGAAAAGAAAATTTGTTCCTCGCAAAGATAAAAAAGATCTGAAACTGTCAGTCTCAAGAATTATTTACAATATAGTCAACAACCAACCAAAGAAACATGAATGTGATGATTAGGTTAAATTATTATTAAAAAAATGGCATATATTGTAGTGGCAAGTTTTGCAAATGTCTTTTCTGTTTAAAATAGTTTTGCAAAAGTCATTTTAAGTTTGAAAGGTTAGAAAACATCTGAGAAAGGGAATGCTGCTGATTCAGGGTGAGCGAGATCATCAAGAAAACAGCAAGTTCCTGCAAGCCCTTCATACAAGCTGTAAGGGCTGTCTGGTTTCAGCAAAAGGGGCTTAAACTCCTCAGAATCGATGAACTGGGCAAAAGCGTGGGCTCTCTGCAGGTAGTGCTGCTCTCCTGTCAAACGGAACAAGAGCAGAAAGACGTAACCACTGCCGGCAACTCCATGGCAAATTCCTGCAGAGGAAAAATAATGATCAAAAATAAAATTTAATTTCAATGGACAAACCAGGTCCTTTGCGCAGCAGACCCTTGTTCCAAGTACATTCAGCACACTTGACAGCCGCCTGCAGATATTTCTCGTCACTCCAGACCAAGTATGCTTTTGCCATCAAGTAGACGATACCTGACGACCAAACAAGTCTTTTAGATAAAAATCTTAACTGTTGGTAATTCTTTTTTATACCAGGGGCTCCGTGGCACCAATGCACAAGCTCCTCGGCTTCAGGTCGAGCTCCACGACCAATTTCCGAAAGGTCGCTTGGAAAATTCCCTGATGGTGTCTGCAGGGACAGCAGGTAGTCCACGCTGGTCCGGATGTCTTTTTCGACTGAAGGGTCACTGCTACTAATGAAACTTGGCACACTCAAAAGGGCTTGCAGAATTGCACACAAACCATGGGCTGCACCTAAATCACATTTTTATTATAAGTTGAAAAAATATTGTAATTATAATCTTGCCTAAGTACTCAGTGCCGTAGTAAGCATACATCAATGGACAGGGGCTACGGTGATGCCGTGCGTACTGTCGGCCGGACTCGACGATTACGGTACATATGGCCATTAGGTCCTTGTCTGCAATCACTGGTTGTTGAAGAGTTTTCCGAAGCCATAGGATGCCCATCACGTAGCCGGCTCTTCCGACAAAGAGTTCGTCACTGCCACATGAAATGAAGTTAGTTTTCAAGCAGTTGGACAATCCCTTGGCATAGTCACGCAAAAAGCCATCATCTAAAAAAAGAATTGCATTATTTTATTCAGTATTATATTTGTTCGAAGCAGTTCAATTGCAGTACATTAGCTTACTATTGTTTTTTTTTTTTAATATCCTTGATTTTTTTTATTTATCTTTACATTTTCATTAATATTAGGTTACTAAGATGATTTCAATTTACAAAATATAATATTATATTTTAAACTTTTAGATTTTGGGTTAAAATTGATTTCAATAAATCTTGTCATGTTTATTCTTACAAATTTATTTAGCGAGAGGGCCGAGAGGAATATATTATTCTTTATTAAAAATATAAAATATACAAATGAGCTGATTTATGACTGCTTTATGAAAAACAATAATTTAAAAATTAATAAGTACCGTTAAAAACCGCAGCACAAATTGCATACAGTCCAGCGTTGCCCAATATAAATGCAGTGTCATCCCTGGAATTGCCCTTCTTGTGACGACCAGCCTCAAGAGCAGCTTCAAGGTACTCCTTGGCTTTGCTCTGAAGAGCACCCTTGCTGTCCTGGAATATCGGTGACTTGCTCAAGTGATAACAGAGATAGCCGATCCCGGCAATCCCCACGTAGAGACCACCCTCAGCATCCTGTGGGTCGGCCTGTTGTTTTTGGACAATCGTTTCGTATTTCTCAATGACACTACATTTCAGGACACTCTTGCTCAAGACGCAATCTTCCCCTATGGGCAGGTTGTTAGGAAAGTATCGCTTGGGCGCACTCATTGAAGGGCTGTGGTCGAATTTGATTATCTCTTCCTTAGAGGTATCAAGCAAACACCGACTTTGGACTTGACAGACTGTTGCCTCACTTCACACCCACAAGCCGCAACAAGCGTAGAGGAAGAGAGTATTGATAAAAATGGCGCCAAATTTGAAATTATCTTCAATAGAATCATCTTCTGTAATGCCTTAACAATAAGTAATAAAATAGGTGTATCTTTGGCGGGAAGCTGGAGCTGATGATGATTAGTCAGAGTCGTCAAGTTCTCCCTCCTCTGAAGCTTCGTCCAGGTCAGGGTGATGAGCTGAGCTTTTGGTTTTTGCACTGCGTTCTACTCTGGATCTTGATTTTTCGATCACTTGGCGCAGGTCACTCTTTCCTTTGCTCACTATTGGGCTGTCCTTACGCGATATTATGTCCCTGACTTCTCTATCACTTCTGTGCTCTAGTGATCGGATGCTATGCTTTCCGTAGCTGTCTTCACTTTCTGATCTCCGAGACCTACAACAAAATAGATAAATTCATCGATGAAACCATTTGATTGAATAGTCACACAAAATAATTTCTTTAAAAAAAAAAATAATAATTAATATTTAAATAATTGTTTATGATTATTTTCCAGATCTTACCTATTTAGTCTCTTTTCTTCACAACGTTGGCGCTTAGGAGAATGTTCTCTTCCTTGACTTCGATATTCATAACGTTTGTCACTCTCGTTCCGATAACTACCATTTAACTTCGATGGAGGCGATAGAGATTTCTTTTTTCTGCGGCTTTCCTCTCGAGCTGGGGACACGGAGAAATCTCTTTGATCTCGTCTCTCATATGGCGAGGGAGATCTTCTCGAGGTTGAAAGATCTGGAGACCTTTTTTTGCTATACGAGGGTCCTGGAGACTTCCGACTAGATGAAGAATAAGACGAGCGTTCTACTGATCGGCTCCTTCTGTAAAATGGATAAAAAAAGAAAAAAAGTTAAATCAAGATATTGTATTTGGGCATAAAATGTCTCAGCCCTTTTCATATTCAAGAAGTTAAAATTTTTAAATTTCTGTGAGATATTTTACCTCGGTTGTCTCCTGTCTCGATCATCGATGGGCTTTCTCTTATCTCTAAACTCAGGCGACTTCCTTCTTTCCTCAGCATATTTTCTCCTTTCGACATCCCCTGGGGACCTCCTCCTCTTCTCTTCTGGTGATCTTTTCCTCAATTCAGGAGACTTTCTTCTATACTCGGGTGACCTCCTCCTTGCTTCAGGTGACCTCCTCCTTGCTTCAGGTGACCTCCTCCTTGCTTCAGGCGACCTTCTCCTTGCTTCAGGCGACCTTCTCCTTATCTCTGGTGATCTCCTCCTTAATTCAGGAGATCTTCTCCTCACATCTGGCGACCTCTTTCTTTCTTCTGGCGACCTCTTCCTACCCTCAGGTGATCTCCTTCTCAGTTCAGGTGACCTCTTTCTTTCTTCTACCTGTTTTTTCCTCATCTCAGGTGCCCATTTCCTCTCTTCAGGGGATCTCCTCCTTTCTCGTTCATAAGATGACATTCTCACTTCCCTGTCTTCAGGCGAGAGTCGTCTTTCTCGATCAACAAAAATTCTCCGATCTCGATCAGGAGACCGTCTTCCCTCCCTCTCAGGTGACCTTCTCCTGTCTCGATCCTCGGGCGTTCGTTTTCTCAGCCTCTCTAGTGGTGATGGTGACCTTTTCTGATAGTCTGGTGATTGACGATACTTGATTCTTGCAGGTGACCTCCTGCGCCTCTCATCTGTTTCCCTTCTGCTCTTTTCTCGGTGCCACCACTCCTCTTCGGTCATTCGCTTTTTCTCTTGTCCATCTTCACCCTTTGTTGATCCCTCTAAGTCCTTTCGCATATCATCAGTAACTTCCATGTCCATAGGATAGTCCCTCTCGCTGGCCGGAGAACTACCAAACATTTCAGCCATTATAATCTTTTTCTTTTGCTTCTTCTTGCTCCTTGGCGTCAGGGTAAGAATATGAGAGTTGGAGATAAGTTTCAGTTTGCTCTTGGTTGGGTGCGGTGTTGACGTAGCAACTGCGGACGGACGATTTTGAGGCACAAATGGTGATGGTGACCTTGATATCTCCGATTCTGATGTGTAATGCAAGTGAAAATCCTGTGAGGTGCCGCTGTCGTTGGACTTGCGTCCAGTGCTGGGAACAGAGGCTGGTGGCGCTTGAATTTGATGCTGAGGGGTACTCATTTTTTTCATGGGTGACTTTTGAACTTCCACTGGAGGCGCTGTGGATTTAATTGGCAGTCTCTTTGGCATAGTTAATTGCCGAGTTGTAACACTTTCTTCCACAGTTGGCGCAGATTTTGGTGATGGTTGTTTTACCGCGCAGACTTTCTTTGCAGGAGGCTCGGCATCTTTGATGTCTTCTGTACTTGAATTGCCGACTGAGGTGCATTTAATTTTTAACACCCTCTTTCGCTTGAAAGGATAATTTGCTGGCTTGACTTTTGGGGTGTTTCCTGTGCGAGAAAGGTCAATCATGAGCTGCGTCGAGGTGCTTGAAGTCACGGAAGAGTTCAATGACTGGTTCGGAGAAATCAACTGCTGAGCTGGTATCACTGGTTCCTCTGGTACTTTCTCTTTTTCAGGAGTTTTGGTCTGTTGCAAAGGTCTTGTGCTGACAGGGGTGTTTTGCAAGGGGCTCAAAAGAAGAGGGTGGTGAGTCATCATTTTCAATGGGGTGGGAAGAATACTAAAAACAGCACTGTCCAGCTCCTTCTGTGCTCTTTTCGTTGGAGAATTTTCTAGTTGAGCAGGGATTTGGCAATTCAGGTATTTCCCTGGCGTCTCGGGAGGGTGACAAAATTCTGGTGAAAGTGATTTGTCTTCAGTTTTATTTCCCAATTCTTTGGGTGTTGCAGTTTCGGCATCTCCTTCGATCAAAAATTTTCCAGGCGTGTCTGGATTGTCCTTGGGACACACTACTTTCACAGTCTTATTTTTCCTCTTCTTGATAGATTTGACCTTGATTCTCTCTTTTTCCGACTCAAGCAAAGAGCTAATCAGATCACTGACATTTGATCCTTCTGTGTCGGAGGTGCCGTGATCATGATTGGAAACTTGTTTAGTTCTCGGAGACAATCGTCTGATGTCATTGGCCACTGCCAATGGGTTATCTCCCTCCCGCTCAATTTTTTCTCTGTGGAGTCGTTCCGCTCTCTGAATTTTTGACTCTTTCAAATTCTCCTTTAAGGATGATGAGCCTGATTCTGTTGATGTATCAGAGTGTCTTTCTGCTGGGGTCTCCTCAGGTACATTTCCGTCTCTTTGATTCCTCGTTGTATTAGGAATGTTTGATTTTTTTGTCTCCGTATTCTCTTCTTTCCTTAGCTTTACTTCACCTGGAATTGACTTTTGCTTTGAATGCCTTCTCTCTGCAGTTGGCGCAGTACGCGATGGGCGTTTTGTCTCTTTTTCATCATCTTTCTTTTTCTCAACTTCTCGTTCCTTTTCCGGCGCTTTTGTTTTTCTGGATTTAACTGGAGCAGCAACAGCTTCTTCTAATTTTGGCACTGGCTCATCTGTGTAAGCTGGGTTAGGCTGGTGATCTGCTGTCTTAGCAGATCTTCTGAACAGGATCGAGTCTCTCCTAAGAAATATTTTAATTTTAGCAATTTTTTTTTATAAAATTTTAACAAAATTACTCTCGTTGAAGGTCTGCCAGCATCTTATTTTTATGCTCAATTTCAGCAAGGGCTGTGGCATAAAGTACTGAAATGTTCCTGTGCAAGGACTTCACCTGTTTGGAAAGCTTATGGTTGGTGCTTTCCAATGATTGTACTTTGCATTCGAGCTCTTTGGCTCTCTTCCTCAAATTGCCATTTTGCAACTCCAACTGTAAAAATAAGAGCAATTCAGTTTCAAGATTGTTGACAATCATGATTGTGTAATGGAGAAAAATGGTATCATGTTACGCGTTATATAAATAATGAGTAAGTATAATTAAATGAAGGTATTATTATGCACACAAAAATGCGGGATAATTTGTTAGATACATACGTCTTGAAGCTTTTTATCAAAATTGAAGTCTGGAAGACCACCGTATATGTCAACATCGTCATCATCAGCCATCGCGTGGAATTTAAATCACGCGATTTTTTTGAGCTGGACTGAAATGGAAGAAAGACCGAAGTTAATTTCTTGCAAAACATAAGAGCGCACAGGTTGCTTGAATGTTTGAAGGAACGCATTAAATTACCTCAGTTACAATTAACACGTCTGCAAGCAGAAATTAATCAGAAGGTGAAGAATGTAATCAGAAAATGAAAGTGAAGATGGCAAAGAAGAAAATCCAGCCGACATGACCCAATCTCGTTGTTTACATCCACATTTGGCGCGAGTTACTGCCCCCTAGTTCTGAACCTGGCCGCAAGAGTCTACGGCTTAATTCTAACGAGTGGAAGTGATGGCGCTGCAGTACTTTGGGTAGAGGGGCGTGTTTTGTTTTACTCTTTTGCGTTGCGCTTGGTTTTGCGGCTAAAAAACAAAGAGGACGAAAAACGTAAAATTGTCTTAATTTTTACTCATTTTCGCCATGGATCTACAACTTGATGCGCTGAACGAAGCCCTGAAAGCGGTCAAGACGCTCAGGTCGAGCGTGGGAAACTTTTTTGTGACCCTGAGCCAGGGCGTACGGTCAGACCATGGAGAGGACAACAAGGAGACGAAATTTATTTTGGAGCTGCAGGACCTCATCTCCGAAGTCAACTCGCACATGAGGCAAAATAAATATTTACTTGAATAATAAGCAAATATTAATTGATATTTAAATTATCAGGAGAGTGGATCAAACATGCTCGTGTTTGGCTCCGGCCCCTGAAGGACTGTACAATTTGGGGAACACTGCCCTTTTGGCCCAGGAAACCACTCAAGATCGCCAAGCCCTTTACAGTGAATTGGTTGAAAGTTACAAATGGACTGACAAAGTATTGAAACATATCAATGAAGTAATTTGAATTTGAAAATAAATTTTTCCAGCTGCACGACTGCTCCAACTTGACAGTGTCGTATCTGCAGCAGAATGTGATGAAAAGAACTTACGTGAATGCTGCAGGCAATGCTAAACGAAGGAGATACACCCCCAGTAGCCACAATGTACCTCCTCAGTAAGAATTATCTTTTTAAGTTTTTTCTAGATTTAATTTGATATTCAATTTAAGGACGGTGGATAATGTGATTGCATCGGTGGACAGACTCTTTTCGGACATGACCCTGACTGTAACTAGGCCGTACGCCACAAATGCAATTCTTCAAGTATGATTAGAAAATATATAATTTGATGTAAACTAAAATCTCTCACTGTAGATCACCCTCGGAAGAAGTCTGAAGGCCGTGGTTGCTTTCAAAGGTCTGATGATTGAATGGGTGCTTGTTAAGGGGTACAACGAGGATTTTGTCAGTGAAAATGGCCATCTTGACCTTTGGACTGAATCTCGATATCAAGTTTTCCGTAAAATCACAGACAATGCCAATGCCGCGATGCTGCATTTTTACTCACCAATCCATCCAGATTTGGCTGTTCGTTCTTTCATGGTGAGTTACAAAATATAAAATTGTCGAAGCAAAGTTTTTAATTGAAATTAATGTAAATTTTTCTAGACTTGGTTCCACAGTCTTATGACTCTCTTCACTGACAGCTGTCGTAGATGTGGAAATCACCTCTTACTTGGCATGCCACCAACTTGGAGAGACTTCCGAACACTTGAAGCTTTTCACGAGGACTGCAAACCATAGATTTTCTCAATCATAAGCTTATCGCACTGTCGCACTCCAGCTTAATTTGATTACTGTTTTGTAAATAAATGTTAAATCTTACCTTACAAGCAAATTATTGTGCTTTTGTGCTGTACTTTCTGCCCAAAAAGTGAGCAATACATTTATTAAGATCCAGTTACACCACATTTAGTTGGTGGAGCGAATTGGTCAAGCACTAGCGTTGTGGTGATTTACCCTTAATAAGAAGACATTGAGGACCTTAATTTCACTCTGGAGTGAGTCTTTATATTGACTGGAGTTCCAATAAAATAAAGACCTGGTCTATGAAGTTGTAAAACAAAATGATTAATTTTTATGAAGTGCGTTGTACACCATAACTCGCCATTCTATTACAACAAAAAACTATATTTGGTTTTCTACACGTTCTGCAACTTTATTTCGCTTTATTACATCTGAAATCTGAATTGAATAAATCAGTAAAAATTAATTAATAAAAAGAAAATACAAATACATACGAGAATTACACGAATAAACAAAATCGGCGATTTTCCTTCCATTTCGCGCCACTGAATAGTTGTGTCAGGAGATGGCGCTGGTGCATGTTTGGTGCATGCATGTCTTGACTTCTGCCTGCTCTGCTGTCTCGCCCAGGTCCCAAGTTTGATTAGCGGCCTAATTTCGATTGCTATGGGGTAAGATTTCTCTGCAATTACGGAGAATATCAAAATTTTGAAACTTTTGCTCGGAAGGTCGTGAAATTTTGCATGCGAGGAAGTTTTCTCTATTTGAGTTTATCCCTTAACACCGACGAAATTTCGACCGTCGTGCAGATCACTTCAAAGGCGTGACAGCCGCACTCGAGATTTTCGACTGCCTGTTTTGCAAATAGCGTCACTCACGGTTGAAAATTTTCAGGGACAAAGAGGACTTTCTCGGCGTCAGTGTGTCGCCGGCGAGCAAGGAAAAGAAGCTGATGAACTGCACTCAGAATGTGTAAGTTTCGTTTGTTTGCCATTGAAAGAGCAACCCCTCAACAGTTGTTTTTGTCTTTCATAACACCGCATGCTTTTCATTTTCCAAGGAAATTCATCGGAGAAGCGGCTGAAAGCCATGAACTTTGCTGCACAGACGTCAAGGTTGTTTGCGGACAGGGATTCCACACGTCCGGCTCCTCCAAGCTGACTTACAAGAACATCGTCGACTTCAACTGGGAGTCACGCTACTACACTGGACAACTCATTGCCGTCCACTGCCGTGGCCGCTACTTTGCCTATGGATTGAAAAGTACAAAAAACCGAAGAAAAATTAATTTGAAAATAATCATTCTTTTATTTAAGCTGTGAAAGGTGACGCTGGAGCAAATAATGGAGTGATCAGAGTCGTCAGTGAGAATTCTGGAAAGAGGGCCTTGATCAGAGGCCTCAAAGGAATGGTCCAGGATTTGGCTTTTTCTCACATCAGGGAAGAGGTTATTCTGGCGTGTGTGGACCCTCAGGGCTCTCTTTTTGTTCATTCCATCGAGGAGGGTACCTCGGAGCTAAAGTGAGCATTTTGTTGTGCTTAACAATTTTTCTTTTCTAAAATTAAAGACTCATTTAACGAACTTAAATTCAAAGGTGTCAACTAGTACTTCATGTGGAGAAAAACTGTAGCTTGTCTGCCAACATTGTCCATCGAGTTGTGTGGTGTCCGTACATTCCAGACGGAACAGTTGACAAAGAGGTGGCCGAGTTGCTAGTATTGACAAGTGGCCAGAAGGCTGAAATGTGGTGCGTGCCCATTGTACACGCCAGCATGGGTGCAGGGCCGCACAAGCCAGAGGACATCACGGAAGGTGTCTTGAGAGTTCCTGAATTTGATCACACTATTACCGATGCTGCCTTCAGTCCTGACGGCTCGGCAATTGCTATTGCAACAGCAGGTGGCCTTGTTAGCTTTTTCCAGGTTGGTGTTTTTTTAACTTTGAAAGTCTCCTACAAAGCTAACTGCTTTCTTTAAAATTCATGTTTCAAAGGTTTACATGCACAACAAAGCAGCACCTCGCTGCCTGCACTCGTGGACACCACACAATGACCAGCCACTGACCACACTCCTCTTCCTAGACAACCACCAGGAGCACTCTCCTGAGTAAGTTCTGAGATAACTTTCTCTGCTAAAATACTTTGTACTAAAATCAATTAATAATTCTATTTTCTTTCAATTAGAATACAATTTTGGAAATGGGCTCTGACAGGGGCCAAAGACAACACTGAAATCAAACTATGGGCATGTGAAACCTGGGCCTGTCTCCAGACAATCAAATTTGAACCTGGCCCAAATCGCGGTTTGGCATCGGCCAATAAGCTGGTCTTGAAAGCAGCCATTGATTTGTCTTCAAAATACTTAGTGCTCTCGGACATCAATAGCCGAGTAAGAAACTGCTGTGATTATCATTTTGAACACTTATTAATTTGAACTATTTAGATGCTCTATGTTCTGCAAATGCAAATGGACAACAGTCCCGCCCACGTTTCTCTGGTCTCGGGTTTCAATTTGCACCACCCTGCCATTAGTTTTGCCATTGTTGAGGCTGGAATTAAAGCCAGGTTCAGACTGCTTGGACGAACTGACATTCACTCGAGCCATGGTATTTTTTACCGATCAGTTATTTTGTGCATAGGAAATAATTTTATTTTCTCAGATGATGATGATGACGACGACGAAGATGATTCTTCAAGAGCAGCAACATGTGTAGTATTAAAAATGTACATTGTCGGACCAAAGTCGCTGCAAGAGTGCCAGCTTGCTTTTGAGCCAATTGCTGAACCTCCCACCATATCCCATGAAACCTTAGGTTTGCTAAGTTGAAGCGCAGCGGAATGTAATTTAATTTTTAACAAATTTGGCAGATTTCCCTGATGAAATTGCTGACAACAGTTGTCAGGACACAATAGTAGTTGGTTCGGAAAGCTTGTCCACTCCGGTGAACACATCTTTAGTAGACGCTTTGAATGCCAGTTCTGGAAACAATCTGAGTTCTGGTAACCTGAACTTGATGACCCCTGAAGCTTTCACGTCTCCACAAACAAGGCAGGAAGAAAATCCGTCTGTGGCTTCAACTATCAGCACAGGCAGTAACAAAAAGTTGGAATCAACTCCCATTCCATCAGCTCCGGACGTCTCTGCCATACTTACTGTATTTATTAATTTTTTCATCTTAATGAAGCTTTATTAATTAATTCTTTGTAGCAATTGACTCAAATCTCTCAGTCAGCAGAAGAGCAAAATTTGAATGCAGATGAATCTTTGATCATTCGTGTCAGAGACGGAGGAATGGCCAGTGGTGGAAGCAGCCCAAGTCGAGAGGTCCAGCAAATATTGTCCCAAGACAAGGACGGTACGGGTATGATGAATATCCATTACTATATTTATCGTAAAAATTGTGCATTCCAATTCGTTTCTTTTTTTTTTTTTCTTAAAATACAATTGATAAATCTGCTTAGACGATTCTTTCAAAATTATGGCCTAAATTAGGTTTTTTAAGTATTTAAAACCTTTTCATTTTTATGTTCAAATGTTGCTTGGGTTTAAATTGTTATTTTCTTTCTTTATTCTACTATTTTGCAAACAAGTTGGTTGTGCTGTGTTGAATAACTAACACCACGTCAAAAAAGCTATAATATAATATATTTTTTACATGGATTTTATTGATTGATTTTGCAGGAAGTCTCAGTGATGACTTCTTTGAGGCTAAAGAGGAGCAGCAGGACATCACTATTGAAGAAATGTGAGTAATAAATAAGAAAAAATATTAAATCTAATTAAGTATGGATTCTGACTGACTCTTAATTAAAATTTTAGCAATGTTGAGCCTAAGGAGGAACTGGAGTCTGACAAATCAAGTTATTCGTGGCCTCAAATACCTCCCATACCTGACATGCCTCCTGCTTTGCAGGACATTACTGATGACGTGCCCAACATAAATGATATGTATGTGTTAAATTTTTCTGTCCCCTCGCATTTTTGTGGTTTATTTCAACATTTGTGTCCAAACAGAGATATTCCGGATATTCCTGTAGTGCCAACAGTGCCTGAGCAAGCCGTCGAGCAGAACAAGGAAGTGCTTGAAGAGTTGCGTTCCCTGTCACGATGCGTCCAGGCTTTGACCACCATTATAGAGGAGCAGCAGGTGCAAATCAAGGATTTGCAAACTCAAGTGCTGAGGACGGTGCCAAGGAAGGATGTTCTTGAAAATGCAGCTACGGTTGCTCTAGAAAAGGCACTCTCGAGACAGCTCAGTCGGCAGTCGCAGGCCATTGAAAGTCAAATCAAGCAGAAGCTGTCTGACATGGAGAGTTCCATGAGCATTTCTTTGGCCAAGTCTGTCGATGTCCATGTGTACACCAAAATGCAGAAGGTGTTTGAAACTGAGATCCAGAAGATGATTATGCCAAGTACGATGTATAATTTTGTTGTGATTGTCAATATTTTTATGAATTTCCAAAGGTGTGATCAGCAACATGGATCTGATCAAGGGATTGGTCCAGACAGATATCTCCCAAAAGATGCAAGCAGCTGACAAGACTCTCAATGAGAACATTTCTAGACTTGTACACAACAAAGTGGGTGTAAAAGTTATTTCGATGAGTTTGTATGCATAAATTTAATTGTTCATAGCAACTTCAAGACAATTTGTCAGCCTCTCTTGCGGCCTCTCTTCAAATGAGCATGGCGTCCTGTTTCAAAGAAGTCCTCCTAGCCACAGTTGTGCCTTCGTTTGAGAAAACTTGCAAGACATTATTCTCTCAGCTAAACGAAGCATTCTCTCGTGGAACTTCTGAACGTAATAGTAAACTTGAGAAATAATATGGAAACTTAATGTTTAATCAACACAGACTTGGCTGCTGTGGAAGCCCAGCTGGAAAAACAGCGTCTGCGGCATCAAGAGAAAACCCGAGAGACGAACTCTCAGCTTGCTGCCTTGAGTGATTCTGTGAGAATCGGTCATGACGCCACTGCTGCCATGGTGCGAACTGAGCTGCACACAGCCTTGTCCAACATCACCTTGAAGTAAATATTTGTTGCAAATATTTATTATTAGAAAGCTTAATTTTTTTCCTTGTCTTGATTGTGGAAAAAGTAAACATAAATATCTTTCAAAAGTTGCCACCAAGGGATTAAATTTTATTTGTTCAAATTGAAAAAACTTCATAATTTTTTTTTAGCCTTCAAGAATCAGTCATTAGAGCAACAAGAGATGCTGTCAACGACTCTGTGACTAGAACCCTGCGTGAACATTCCTCCAACATCCACTCCCGCCCAGAGACTCCGCAGTCGAGGATTGATCCTCAGGCTCAACTGGCTTCTATCCTCAACCTGGTGCAGCAGGGCCAGTTGAATAGTGCCTTCCAGCAAGCACTCTCAGCCTCAGATCTGCAACTGCTGGTCAAACTGTGCGAACGCGTCAATCCCCAGCAGGTGTTCAGCATGCAGCCATGCCCCCTGCAGCAGCCTGTGCTACTCTCTCTCATTCAGCAACTCTCAGCCGACCTCACAACAAACACTAGCTTGAAAGTCAGGTGAGGGTTTTAAAAATCAAATTTGCACATTTTCTAAAAAATACGGCATTTTTTCTTTTTCAAAATGTACAATATTTAAAATAATTGTTTTTCAGCTATTTGGAGGAGGCGGTTGTGAATTTGGTCCCTGACAGCGCTGGCACAAAGCAGTATGTGCCCAACATTGTGAGCTCTTTGCAAAAGCAGCTCAACTCCTTTATCACCATGCACCCTAATGACAAGGTCGTTCGCCCCATGAAGATGCTTTTGCTGGCCACACAGGCCCTTGTTCCCACCACAAAGTATTGAATCGACGGAAAGTGAAAGAATGAATGGTACTTGGTGACTGAATTGATTGCAGACTTTTTTGTTTGTACACATAGTTTTAAGGTGCTGCTCTGTTGTTTAATTTTCTTTTTCTTTGTATAAATTAATTTACTTTTTCACATCAAGTGCCCCCCCCCCTCCCCATTCTGTACCTTGGAATCCTCAATTAAAGTGTAAGTTTACAAATCAAATATGAACAAATTAGTGTGCTTTTTTTCTTCATTTATTAACATTCAATACCTCTTGGATGTTTCACAAACAGATACACAGGAAGCAGCTGTTTGTTTGGGTGAATTTTGCACACCTAGTGCTCTTAGCAGGAAATAAAAGATTTTAAAACATTAGTTTTTTGTGAGAGATGAATAAATCTTGAAACGTAGAAATCTACCTTACATGTAAATGTGCTTTCCAAGCAACAAAATAAAATGTAGAAATCTTTTTTTACGTGGATAGTCCGATAAATTAAATAAAATGCAACAATTTAACAACTTAGTAACATACACTGAATATATTAGGTTAGGGTGTTATTTTCCATCTTTTTTATGGACAAGTTTTTATCTAGAAAGGTACAAAATAAACCAAAATCTGTTTTCTCTGGCGCATTAAACAACCCAGACAAGTTAAATAATTTGTACCGCTAAATCGTTTCATTTCATCGATATTGTCGACAGACTAAACATTTTTCATAACTGAATAATTCACATCCTTTCATTCATAAACATTTCATCCTTTACATTAAAATTAATTCCAAATGGAAGGTAATATACAATAAATAGAATAATGTATAATCAACTAGTTTTTTAAAGAGAAGAACTTTGTCATTATGACGAAACTAAAAACAAAAAAACCTCAGAGGATCACTTTGCTTCTGGTGTCACTGCCTGTCCGTTGCTGAGGGGGTGCTCTGCAACAACAGGAGGGAGCACAGGTGCCGGAACAACAGGCACAGGAAGGGTTGGTGTCATTGGAACACTGTGGTGATGGGTGCCGCCCAAGCCTGGCCGAGTCGGTGATAGAAGCTCCTAAATTTTTTGAATAGTTTAGTGTTTCAATACAAAGCATCTTTGTTTTGTTTATTAAATCTGATTCACAGGAAGATAAGATTGCAATTTTATATAGATCAACAACCTTTCTTTCTCGGTCAGTATTCCTCCCAGGTCGGAACGCCTCCAAAAGCTGCTCGACCCTCTCCTCGGTGGGTCCCCATTTATGAAATCCAGAATCATTCTGCAGCCACACGAGGACAAGAGCGTGCGAGCTTTTGATTATGGACTCGCTCCTGCACCAAACACAAATAAATTATTTTATGCAAAATTAAAAATATAAAGAACTTATTACCTTGAAATGCAATGCTGCAAGCCGTGGATGGCTTCGTGCTCAAAAGCTGGCACCACGATTTGGCGCCGACCGAACCTAGACTTGTTCAGAGCCTCAAGAGCAGAGGTTGGCGCTGGTGCTTGGGCGTCAGGTCCTGCAGGGGCACTCACCTCCCTCCTTTCAGGAAGAGAGACTATAAAGGAGAGAGGCTCAGGCGAGCCAGCCAAGAGTCTTTCGATGTGGGCCAAAGAGGCAAGGAGAAGTTCTTCACAAGCTGGAGCGTTCACTTCGAATGATCCGCTCACTGGCCAAAACTCGAGGAAGGGTCTGGATTTGATAATTTTTGTGTTTCAAGACATAAAAGAGCTGATGTTAAGAAAACTCACCCTCTTGAGCCAAAGAAACCATCTGTGTCTGCAAATGGTGAACAGTACTGCCTGAAGTAGCAATTCATGGGTGACGCAAAGCATTCAAAAGTGACGCCAAAGCAGTTGTAGAGACACTCGAAGACTGACGTTGGCAATGAAGAGTGACTGGAGTTTGCACCTCCACCTCCAGGCAGGGTCTCGCCCATGAAGGACGAGTATCTCTTCAGCAAACACCACACTCGAGCAAGGAACATTTCATACTTTTTGTCGTCAAAGCAGCTATGCTTGTAAAGTTGCTCCTAAAATTAAAAGTGTCTTAGTAAATTTCCGTACTTCGAGATTTCTCTTTTACCAATTTTTGAAGGTGCATGATGTTGATTGGAACACCATCGCCCTTCCATCTCAGCACAGCTTGTTCTCCTCTATCAGGCAGGTACTCAATTGCAGGCAGTCTTGCACCAGGACTGGCCAGCTGAACAGGATAACACCAAACCTTCCTCCGCAAATGGGCAGGTGGCAGTGGTGGCACCTCAGATACTGAGGAATGTATGTTCAAATTAGGGAAAAAAATTTACTCTGCGCTAATCAATTATACCCTGCACGTTGTTGGCTTTCAGCAATTCTTCATTTTTTTCTCGAACCTTGCGAGCGTAGTCACAAGAGAGGGCATAAATTTTGAGACAAATTCCTTCCACCGACCGTTTGACAGCTTCAGCCAAGTGGGGTTGGCACTGAGCTTTCAAGTGTGCAAGTCGCTCTTGAAAATCATCGTAAGTGGCTCCTATTGTCTTCCGTAACCAATTGAATGTCTCCTCGACATTCCATTTCACAATTTTCCTACTTTCTGGTGAGACCGTTCTGAAAGCGAGATAATATATTTAGGTGATTCCAGAATGATTAATTTGGGGCAAGCGCAAGTACCTTGACTCAATCATTTTCTTGGCTGCCTCAGCATACTTTGACAACTGCTTACGCGCGTCACCAGTAAATTTAGGTTTGACCAGACGTATGGGGATGTCATCCATGATGGCTGCAAACATGGCTGGAGATATTTCTGGTGCGCATCTGCTTGGCAGCAGAGTGTCGGTGCCAGTGTCAACTGTTTTCCTCTCCATGAGCCACCGGTTGAATGATTCCCGAGGAGCATCAATCGCTATAATTTAATTCAAGGAATACCATATAATTATGATTGATTTCAATCGCAATTTTGTACTTTAGAACTTAAATGATTTCTGTCGTAGCATTAAAATAAAACTTGATATTATTCAAAATGTCTTACCTTCACGTGAATGGCAGAGATCCTGATAGCTTTGCCTAAGCTTGGCCACAAAATTCGCCCTCATCGCTTCAGTCTCTGGGTGAGGTTGAGGCAACTCGGACAATGACCGCTCCAAAATAATTACATTTGTGCTCACTTCCAAGTCCCAAGGACCACTGAGGGAAAATATTAAGATTTAATTTTCTTATTCAATAATTAAAAAAAAAAAATGAAAATTGGAAACGCACGCCAAGATAATCCTCTTTGCCTGTGGAATTGTTTCGTCAGAGGCTCGTCGCTTTGTTCCACATTGGATCCCCAAGGGGTCAGTGACGGGGTCAAATCTTTGCTGAGGGTGAGGTGACTTGAGCACAGGCGTCTCCCAAAGTGACTCGTTGGTCACTTTGTTCCAAAAGTAAGGTCGATTCTCCCTTTTACTCCAGCATTGGCGCCAACCAATGTTCATCAGCTCTGGGGTCAGAGGTGCAAGAATTGGTTCTCCAGGGGGTGGCACACTTCCGTCCTTAAAAAGATATTTTATTTTATTTTATTGAAATAAAAATTAGTTGCAACAAAAGTTGATGACAACAAATGCATGAATTATAAGTTCTAGTTTAATTCATGCTTTTTATTTTAAAATATAATAAGATTTTCATTTAAATTGCAGAATAGCGATTTCATAATTAACTCACCCCTGGAACATGTCCTGGTATCATTGGAATGGGCTCTGTTGATGGTAACATTGGAGTCGGTCTTATGGGACACGGTGCGACAAGTCCTGTCGGCGTGTGCGGCATGTTATGTTCCATCATAGGCAAGTGTCCAGGGTGTCCGGGCGGCATCACACCAGGGTGCATCAGGTGCGTCGGTGGCGGCGGCATCTGATGCATATGGTGCATCGGGGGCGGCGCACCCATGGGCAGTCCAGGCACCATTGGTGCCGCCTCCCAATGAGGCTCGCCGACGGGCCCGTGCTTTTCGGGCTTGACTTCGTTCATGTCTCTGGAAGGAAAAACGGTGTTATTATGAATTGTCAAAGTGGGCAGCTGCAAAATTTCAGTTTGGCATTTCCATTTACAGGCGCTTTCCGGCCAAAACGGCGAGTGACACCGGCTGAAAATGCATCCCAGCGTTAAAAATAGACGAAATTCGGCGTCTGGCGCGAGAATTAAGACAGCCGTCGGTTTAATGCGCTACTAAATAGACTCTGTTGTCATTGAACGCCAATGCACGTGAAATCGCCAACCGCGAATTGCGCCCTGGGCGCCGCATCGCGGCTACAAACGATGGCCAGTTGCGTGCACCGAACATACCTGCAGCTTTTGAACGTGATTTCATAGGATGAGATTCAGTTTTTACGTGATTCATTCATGAATTTTGAGAGACAAAAAAATAGAGTCCCTTCTCGCTGACGCCATTTGCCTCAGCTGAAGATGGTCACGTGATCACTTCGACTATTTTTCTAGCGTCCCCTCCCATTTGCAGCGCTGCCAATATCGATCATCGATCGGCTTCGGTCAGTGATTAATGTTGAAAAGTAAAAGTCAGCAAGATATCTGCATAAATTTATTTTATTTATTTCTAATGATTTTATTTTTAATTGAATTTTATGTCTTCAGAAACTTTTTAGAATGTATTCAAACGGCAGCTGAACAAAATGTAAATACTATTAAAATGGCAACGTCGCTTTTCGGTAGACGCAGTCCGTAGTACGCACCGCACACTGCAGAGCAGACAAGCCAGACAACTCGCCAAAGGGTCTACCGGACCAAAAGTTTTACGTATTTCGAGAAATTTCTGACTCTGCACCCAAATTTTTTGTGACTCGAACGTTCCCAGAGCGTTCTTTTTCGTACTGAGCTCTTATATTTTGGGCTCCGAACCAAATCAGCAAAATGTCAGTCGCTTTCGTTTCGCGAGGCCGGCCGCAGCCGAGTACCCAGCAAATTCAAAAGGTCTGTAAAAACACCGAAATCATGTCTTGTTCCTTTGAAGCTTATGAGTTGAGTATTCTTTCAGATGCTGGACGAGAACAGCCATTTGATCCAGACAATCCAAGAGTACCAAAACAAGGGCAAAGGGCAGGAATGCATGCAGTAAGTTATTTTTTAATTTTCATAATTATTTCCTCTGCAGGGTTTGACTCGTTATATTTTTATTTCTGCAGATACCAGCAAGTTTTGCACCGTAACCTTGTCTACTTGGCATCGATGGCAGACTCAAATCAGAACATACACACACTTTTACCCGTAAGAATACAAATAATAACCGTAAAACTAGTTTTTTTTAACACTGATTTCATTATTTGTTTTTTGTGCAGGCGCCTGGAACTATGCAAGCAACAGGACAAGCGCCACCTTCAAATCAGCAGCAAGGTGGTCCTCCTGAAATGAATGTCGGTTACAACGGTCCGCAGCAAGGCCCTCCTCCTCATGGACCTCAAGGTCAAAATCCCCAACAAGGGCCTCCTGCACCACAGCAGGGAGGATACAGAGGTCCACCGCCACCTCAGCAGCAACCAATGCCTCCAAACCAGCCTCAACCACGTAATAATTGTTTGATGCTGAAACTTTATATGTTGAAATCTGCATTTAATGATAATCGGGGCAAAATTTATATTTTTTTAGCCTTTTGATTGGGTTTACGGTGCGGGCATCAAAATAATGAAAGAGTGGTTTGAAATTGAAACAAAGATCTTAATTTTTTTATACATATTAGAAAAACTTAATATTTAAAGAAATATTATTTATTTGAATCATTTTGAAATTTTAAAATATTTTATAAATTTATTTTATAGGACCTGGAGCAGGGCAGCCATACAGACCTGGTCCTCAGGGATATCCCCCTCAACCTCCCCATCAGCCATATGGAAGCCAGTATGGCCCTCAACCTGGAGCACAGGTAAATCATTTTTGTCAATTTCTACATTTTACTTATTCATTATTTAATTAGTTTGGATTATTTTGAACCACTTAAAATCAGAGTAAGAACTGAAGATTAAAATTTAGAAATGTGTTTTTATAAATAAATATTTGAAACAAAAATTGTAATTTTGCAGAACTATCCTCCCAACCAGCAAGCACCCCCGAGCAACTACCCGCCACCTCCGCAGCAGCAGCAAATGCCTCCCTCTCAGCCCCCTCACTCTCAGGGGCCGCCCCCGCACAATCAAATGCCCTCGTCCTCGCAGGCACCACCACCCCAGCCACCCTCTCAGCACTCCGGGCCGCCCACCCAAGGTCAACCTTCGACGCCTCAGCCGTCAGGTCCGGTTGGAACTCCACCGCAGCAGAATCAGGCGCCGCCTCCACCCCAACAACAACAACAACAGCAGCAGCAGCAGTCGCAACAGCCGCCTCAGCAATCCCAGGCTCCTCCGCAGCAGCCACCAACCCCCCAGCAACAACCCCCACAAGGACCACCCCAAAATTACCCTCCGTCTGGTGCACCTCCTTCATCGCAGGGTCCGCCGGGACCGCAGAACTACCAGGGAGGACCTCCTCCATCGTCGTACGGTCCACCGCCTCCAACTCAGGGTGGAGCTCCGTATCCTGGCGCAGGTTCTCCCTACGGTGGACCTGGCCAGCCTCGTTACGAGCAGAATCCATCGCAGACCCCTCCGTCGTCCAACACCCCTCCCACAGGCCAATATCCTCCCCCACCCCAGGGTCCGCCAGGGCAACAGCAAGCTCCGCCTCCGCAACAGCAGCCCTACCCACCAACTACTTCGCAAGGTCCTGGATATCCTCCTCAGGGTCAGGGTCCGCCCCCTTCGCAGGCAGGGCCGCCCGGCAATCAGCCACCTGGCAGTCCCGCACCCTATCAGCAAGGGCCACCACCTCAGGGGCAGCCGTACCCTCCTTACGGTGGCCAGGCTAGTCCTTATCACAACTACCAAGGCTACCAAGGCCAGCCTGGATACGGATACCAACAGGGTCAGTACCCTCAAGGACAGTACCCACCGTACCCTCCGAACGCAAACGCAGCAGGATACAACCAACCGCCTCAGCAGCCAGGTGAGAAATATTTTCCTCGGCTACCAATTCACCTCATTTTTATTCGAAATTTCATTCTAGGAAACTAAAATAGTGAATGATTAATTAAATTGTGGTAATTATTTTAATTTCCAAAACTTCAGCACCGGTTTTTTTGCTTTTTAACTGGCACTAATTTGGAGTAATTTGAAATTGATTTTTTGCACCATTGAGTTTTAATTATCAAGGTTTGTTTACTTTATGTTTTACTATAGACAACGAGTGCTATTTGTTTTTTTATGTTTGTGTTGATATTTAGTTAAGGGATGATCGGCTGCCACTGAAAAGCAGCTGTGCATGCAAGGTCAAGGTTACATCCCAGGTCCGACATGCTCTTTTTTACGGAGCTTATAAAACCCTGCTTTTCCTCACTCAAACTATTTTTATGCCCCAAAGTCAGTAAGGATGGAGAAAATTAAATATATCATTGAAGCAATAATATGAGGATGAAAATTTTCTAATGATCTGTAGTAATTTAAAAAAAAAGAAAGCTTAATAATTTACTCTTTTTGAATTGAATTTCACATAATTATAATCGCATTATTGGGGCCTTTATGTATAATTATGTTAATTTCTGGCTGCTTATAGGGGTGCTAATTTTTCAGTCCTGAATTATCCTCTTAAAAAAATTTGTTCCATTATTCCAGGTCAGAACTATCCACCCCCCAGCAATGGACCGCCTCCAGGGCCTCCGCAGCAAGGTCCGCCGAATCAGCCTCCATCGTCGCAGGCAGCCGGCACCGCCCCCTACGCGCCGCCTCCAGCAGGCCAGACGTACGCCCCACCATCGCAAGGCGCCCCCGGAGGCTACGGCCCTCCTCAGGGAGGCCCTGGTCAGTACCAGCAGTACGGTCAACCACCCCAGGGCTACCCGCCGCAGGGTCCTCCGCCAGCAGGTTATCCTCCTCAGCAGTACAGCCGAGCGCCTCCCGGAGGCCCCCAGCAGCCGCCTCCGGCCGGCGCGCCTCCCCAGGGGCAGTACTACGACCAGACCAGGTTCCAAGGCTACCAACCGCCGCCCCAGTAAGGGCAGAAACTTTGAACATTCCAGAGCGAATTTTGAGTTCTTTGATTTTGTGGTGATAAAAAAGCGAAACGTTTTGTTTCTGGTGTCGTGAGACAAAGAACAAAGTAATTTTTTAATATTATTTATTTTCCTACTTCTATGCTGATTTGTCTTAAGCATTTGTGTCGGTTTGCTTCTTGACTTGGAACTAATTACTTAAATCAGTCGGGTTCCAAACCCGTAGTTGTCACAAAACCGTGTTTTATTCGAGATGTGAAGTTCCGTGTGTAGTTTTGAAAACAAACTAATTCCATTTAATTAGTGAGATGCGTAAAACTCGAAGGCTTCTCATCCGTTTTTCAGTAGATCATCAGTATTATAGAAGGATGCGCTGAGAATTTTTTCATTCAAAACTCGGCTCCTTGTTGTAAACTTTGATGTCTCTTACATCCCGGTGCAGGTGGTAATTTGTAGCATTTTAACCCTCCATATTACAGGCCGAGTAGCAATTAGTCTGAAATGTAAATTTTGGTTGTCTTTTGTATTTTAATCAATGAAAAAATAAACCTCTATCGGCTTTGTCGTAATTGTCTGCGTTTTATTTTGGAAGGAATGAAACAAAATTCGACTTTTATTTGTAGATAGAATATATATTAATTCTTCATTCATTATCCAAACATGGAAAAAATAAGGAAAATACACATTAGTGGTCAGATCTCAAAGCAAGGGTTCCAAATTTCTTCTTCAACAATTTCAAATTCGTAAAAATAAAAGTGCTCGAGAGCAAAACAGATGAGATTCACATAAATTCAACAATGTTTTGGCAAGAGATAAAATTATACGTTTTGTACTGAAAGTTAATAAAATTCGCAATATTTATGGCACAACAAAAATATCCCTGTAATGACAAGTGAGGAGGAGTGAATGAAACATGTCGTCATTTCGCCGGAATGGAACATTTATATTATTTTGATGACGAATAATTTACGGTCCTTTTTTTCTGCATCTCATTGTGAGCGGTGGTAAAAATAAATTTCGCGACAACTCATACATGAAGCGTGGGCAGTTTGCGAATGTGAGTCAGACGAATTTGCATTATGGGAAACATTATTATTTATTGTATTGTTCTGATGGATTGAATTAAAGCGTTTGCGTCAAAGGGCTCATAAATTTCGTCGATCGGTGCAGGGCAAAAATCAATTTTTGTTCATTGGTCAAGTGCGTTGTGTATTTTAGGAAGCGGAAAAAAACGTGGAAAGTTTCACATACATTAACCAATTAATATTATTTTTTACTTTTGGACATGGACAATCACGAATTAACAAAATGAACGCAGTTTAAAACGGACACTGATTGGCGTTTTGTCTCTAATTAAAATTTTTTTCTCCAAATATATCACTATAAAGCATTTCGCGACATTTTATTTATATAGTAAAATATTGCTTTTGATAACCTACAAAGAAGCAGTGGGAGCAGAAACGACGAAATTTCAGCAAAAAATATGGCAAGCTGTGTAAAATTGTGAGTGTATTTTATTCGCATGAGCATACTTTGGACTTTAGACATTTTTCTTGCCGTCACAAAATTAAAAAAATGATTACGTTCCACCAATTCGAATGCCTCTCATTTTTTTTCTGTAGGAAAAAGCACCATTTTTCTCTTTCTAATTTTACGAACGAAATTTACCAACACGCAACGTCAAAATTTTGGTGTTTGATTTACTGGTTTCATTTTTTTTTTTTTGAACAATTAATCCTACTGATCAATTCCTTTCTTGAAATAACACGTAGGGCGAGTGACACAAATCCATTATTAATTACACATGATTTCTTGCACACGTGATGCACATCAAATAGTAAACAGACAGGTGTATACATCAGGGAATGTCAACACGAACACTGATTGCGAGTCGGGACAGAGTTTGATTATGTTCGAGTTTATTTTTTTTTTTCATTTTTTGGCAGAAGCGGCCGCTTCTTTTCGATGGAAGGTTGAAATTCCATTTTCGGTTAAGCAAGTTATTTCAAAATTATCATTTAATTTAGCGCTATCACAGTATAGGGGAAATGTGAGGATGATTTTCCGCATAAAATATTAATATGACGCAAATCTGTGCGACAGTTTGCACCGGTTTGCACCAAAATTTTACTATAACAATTAAAAATACAATTATCTTCTATTCACGGAATAAAAATAAATTATTTACGCGTCAGATTAAATAGTTGAAGGTTTTTTCAGAGAAAACCCAAGAATATATTTCTAAATTGTATTTTTTGTTTGCTTGTTGAAATTGGTCATTATCACATAGAGCTCTATATACGGGCGAAGGTTTTCTTGGATTGCTAAGCTTAAATACAATTATTGGAAACATCAATCAACATGGAATTAATGTGTATTTAATTAAATTATGGAATTATAAATCACTTTGTTGCACGCAATGTAATTAATACTACCAATGACGAGCAACAACAATAATTATGAGATGATAATAATAATTATTTTGATTTTGAATTACCACATGGACGTCAATATATGTTTCAACGCGATAAATATATATTATGTCTTTTGTAGATTTCACACAGAAACACGCACGGTAAAATGAGCAAAATTGTATTTTGATGAGTTGGTTTCAATTCAATTATTTCAAACAATAATCCATCGATTCGATTTTGTGTTTAAATTTTGTTGTTTTTTCGTTCACTTGTTTTTGCTACTTTAATAATGGCAATGCGTATTTTGATTAATGTCTTTCTTTCACACACAGAAATCATGACTTGTACAGCTCAACGAACAAGACGTTGGTTCAAAAGGGAGACGACACTTAAGTAGAAACTATTTGATTAGAACATTCAATCTACTCTCTGAAATTTATTACGTAATTTGATCAATAATTACTTTTGGAAAAGTTCTAAGATGAGATTTGCGCTGTTTCGAGATTGTCTCTAGTTGGTTGCTTTGCATTCAATGTATCTATTCAAAAAACGTTATCAATTAAAAGAAGAAAAATATAATAAGATAATTAAAAGTAATAAAAAAAACTGTGTGCAATTTAAAATTAAAATAATTAACGAGATATTTTGTCTAGAAGATTCTTGAGATTGATATTTTTCGTACGAGTTAATTTAAAATACTTTTAATGAATTTGTGTTTTGTACTTCGTCAATTTTCTTTTGAATCCTAGAGATTTTTATAATGTTTTAGTTTCAGAGGAGAAAATAAGAGCAAACTCATATCAATTTTTTTATCAGAAACATAGCTCTATTATTTAAAAAAAAATTTGAATTGTTAAAGGGAACTGCATAAAATATTTTTTTATAAAATATTTTCTGAAAACGTCAAATTCTATCCCACGCGGTCCAACGCGAGTCGAGGCCGCGACCTTATCTCACAATTAGACAAGGGACAGCATTTTTTCTACAGTTCAATTGTCTCAAATAGGAACGAGAGTGTGTTTTAAGAGAGAGGTGTTTCGGAGGAAAGACTTTTTGATTTCGCTTGCTGATATGAAAACGTCATCTTGCTTTGCCATATATAATGTTTATTTCAATTAGCTGGAAATGAGTTGCGACACACCCGTGTCGATTTGCATAATGAGATTTCGGTAGGAATACCATTAGCTGGGTGGGTTTTTAGTTTTTAGTCAGTGAGCTGCTTCTCTTCACGCCTCCGCGCCAGTAAACTTTCTAATTGTCCGCGATTATGAACGTGGGAGTGCGAAACGTGTGTAACTCTAAAAGTTGGTCGCTCGATTCTTAAGTGAGTGCGCTGGCGACTCGTTTCTTTTCCAGCCGGCTAATTATTTTTTAATTGCGTGTTCAGTGTATAAATATAACTCTATCTCATTTGTTTGATCCCGTGTAAGCTCATTCAATCAATCAATCGATAAAAAAGCCAACTTGAATCAAATAATTCGTGAGAAACAATGACGTTTTTTTGGTTTTTTGAAAAAACCAACAAAAAAATTAATAGTGGGTTTGAAAACGAAACCATGTTTCTTAATTTTTTTGATTAATCAAACCTCTTATCGTTGCTTCTGTTAAAATCTTGGAGTTGGTTTGGAATTGATTGTGTAAAACTCAAATATCTTGAGGTCTCAGACTCATTTTAAAATAAAATTTGGCCGTAAAAAAAATCAATACAATAATATCAACATCAAATTCGTATTTATAGCACCGAAATAATTTTTTAAACTTAACGAGACGATCTACAATTAAACCCTGTAATCTCATTTCAGATAAATCAAACAATCTCGCACAAGGATGAATTTCCGCAGCCACGCCTGTTAAATCAAAGTGGCTTTTTATCTGTTTTGCGAAATCCAAGCTCAAACAATGCTCTCGAATTCGGCTGCACATTTTCATCGATCGGGATGCCGCGGGGGTCAGTCTGTCGGTCGAGAGGGAGGGACGCGCCGAGTTCAATTGAGTCAACTACGGACGTTGATATGTCGACAACCTCACGGGTAAAATAAAAACAACAAACATTAAAATGCCCAACGGTGAAATTAACGAACCGATTAATCAATCAATCAATCAGCGTAGAGAGCTCAGTGTAATTAAACATGCAGCAGTCAAAGGCAGATCACTTTCTTTTTGTCTCGCATTTTTTTAGAAATCCTCAAACTCCTTGATGTACTTGTTGGTCGAGGACGCCTTGATGGCCACCTCTTCGTAAGTGTCAAAGTTGGACGCGTCGCCCGGACTGCTGCACTTGGGCCGGAACGGCGGCTCGGCCCGTCGGTGCAGGATCTGTTCCCAGTCGATTGGTCGGAACCACCGGTCCCGTTTGATGTCGGCGGCGCCGTCCTTCAGGTTGCCGAAACGCCGAGACAGGTCAATCTGCAACAGCGATCAGATAAAAAATTTAGTGGAATTCTTGATGGGAAATAAATTGTGAAGTTTTATAATTAATCGTGTCTGCAAAATCTGTATACAATATTATTCTGCGTCCATTAATCAATTTGACCAGAAGCATGGCGGTTCGTATTTATAAGTGCTTTCCATCCAATATATCTCTTATTTTTTTTAAATTAAAGAAGAGTGTCAAAAAGGAATTTATAAATTTAGCTTCAAAATTTAAAAAAATTTGAAAAAAAATATTAAACTTTTTAATTAAATCTTGAATAAAAAAAACCTTATCAAACATTTCACTTCAAAAAAAGAAAAGCAAAATTACCACAGAAGGGAAGTGAAAAAACCGCAGGAAGTAGATTATTGAAAATTGCTACGGAAAAATCTGGGAATTTACAAAAAAAAAAACTTGAGACTTTAATCTGCAGGAATGAAATTATATCAAAATTGAGATAAGAAGCTTGAAATTTAGAAGAAATGACTTTACTTCCTTGGCGCTCTCGGAGAGGCCAAGATGCGTCTTGGCAGTGCAATTTTCTTGTTAATCTTACTAGAAATTTTTTCGACCTCGTCAGGAAAATATCAGGTGAGTCTCTCTGATTTAAAATATGCAACAAATTCGCACAAAAATCGATAATAGCAAAAGTGCGGCGTGGCCCCTTTGGACAAAACCAGCAGCAAGACGAATTATTCGAATTACGCCAAGCGCATCGTCGGCGGCACGGCAGCCACAAAACATTCCCACCCTTGGGTAGTTCGTCTGCAGATTTGGGATAAAGGCTTGGAAAACGGCAAACCCGTTTATTTCACAAGCACGTGCGGTGGTACTTTGATCTCGAGCTGCTTCATTCTCACCGCCGCTCACTGCATTGGCGAAACGTCTTCCTGGTCAGTGTTTTTTGATGAGTTTCACGGTGTGGACGCAAATAAATGGCACGTCGAAAAATTTGGCTCTCTAAAAATAAAATATATGGCAGGCCCAAGTGACATGTGAATTTAAAATATTTCAATTTTTTCTTTCTTTCAAAATATCAAGATTTTTATTTTCCAGTTTAAGATTAAGGTTTGAAAAGCACTTTTCCAGCCCAATATTGTAAGGCCTGACAACTTTTCAATGGTGACCAAACGTGTAGGAACTCGTTCAAAGTCACTTTCAGTAAAATTTTGACTTTTTAACTTCAATTTTCAAAATGAAAGCCATTTTTTTAAGTATAGAAAAAATGTAGCCCGTGTCTACTTAAGAATCGACAAATTCATTTTCAGAGGTGCATTTTTTTCTTTTTTAATTATTATTAATATTACTTTTTTTTGAAGCAGTGTTTAAATAACAATGCAAAATGCAGCGCGCTGAAAGAATTTTAAATAAAGTTTCCAATAAAAAATAAAGAAAAATCATGCGCCTCTGAAAATTACCATGTCGATTGTAAATTAGACGGGCTAAATTTTTTCCTATACCTTTCTAAAAATTAAATTAAATTTCATTTTGAAAATAGGAGTAAAAGTCTAAATTTCACTGAGAGTGACATTGAACGTGTTCCTACGCGTTTGTTCACCATAGAAAAGTTGTTTTAAAATGTTTATCTCAAAGTGGAAAATTAAAAACTCGATTTTTGAAATCATTTTGAAAAATTTAAAAAAAACATTTCGGTAATTTTTTAACCTCACAGGCGTGACCAAGTCACTTAGGACTACTAAATATGCTATTTTCAGAAAGCCAAATTTTTCGACGTGCCATTTTTCTGCGTCCGCACGTGAAACTCATCAAATTGATTAAAAAATATCCTTTCATTGAAATTACTTTTTGATAATTATCTCAATTTCAAATAATGATTAGAATTTTCATGAAATTATTTAGGTACAAATATTACAAAGTGATTTTGGGCGACCATGACCAGTACGCAGTTTACGAAGCCAACCACGTGACACGAGGGGTGAAAAAAATTTACATCCATCCGAAATACAACCAAAGCAACCACGACAACGACATTGCCCTGATAAAACTCTCACAGTCCGTCGGCTTCGAGGACCACATCCAACCGGCATGTCTTCCATCGGCTGGAGGTATTAAAAATAAACTACAAAAATTGCACAGCTAATAATTATTAAAAAATTAAAAATAAAAGAATACAAGGATCCGCCGGCCTTAAAAGCGTGGGTCGTTGGATGGGGACACACCAAAGAGGGAGGCAAAGGCGCGGACATCCTGATGGAAGCTAAGCTGCCCCTGTTATCGCACCGCTCTTGCACCCTCATGACCAAACACCGGAAAAGAAAGAGTTTCATCTCAAATAACATGCTGTGTGCAGGAGGGCAAAATGTAGACGCTTGCCAGGTTTGACGAATTTGAAAAGAAATTGCACTCAATATTCTTGAGCTTTCTGCATAATTTACTTTTATATCGTTTGATAGGGAGACAGTGGCGGTCCACTTCTGATCAGGAACAGCGCAACGCGTCAATTTGAAGTGCACGGTGGGCAATTTTCGCAAGAATAAAAAGCTGCATTATCACGAAACATTTGTTTGCAGGCGTTGTGTCGTGGGGAGTTGGATGTGCCAGGCGAGGTTATCCAGGACTCTACGCCAAGGTGCACAACTACCTTGGCTGGATCAAAGGAGTGATGCACGGGAAATATTCCAAATAATCTATGGCTTTTACTTTTGGAAGAATAATGATTTTTTTTATCAGATTCTAAATTTGCGCTTTTAAAATTTCGAGTCCAATGCTTAAAGTACACAATTAAGTTAAGTATTTAAATTAATTATTAATAATATTGTTTAACTTGAATTAAATTTTTAATTCACATACATATTTTATAGAAAATTGTTAATGCATATTTAATTTCAATTTTATAATAAATGATTAGATTTTATAAAATTATGCTTATGTGTACACTTTAAGTGCACAATATAAAAAAAAAAGGGACATTTTTCAATATTCAATGTTTTAATTACTTTTAAAAATAGATTGAAAAGCATTTTAACATTAAACGCAGTGTGAATTGAAACTTTTAATTAGCAAAATTGAATTATTTACAAATAATTGGGTCCTTACATACAGAAATAAAAATGAAATGGCGTTGGAAAAAGAAAGAATAAGTGTTTTTATAATTAAAACTATTATTATTATGAAAATTATCTACATCGTCCGTTTATAAAGACTTTCTACTTCAAACGAGCAATAAATATACAAGTTAACATGGCAAATTTTTGCAAATTCGATTGGCATAGGAAGAGCTCCATCCGTGTCTATAAACCGTGGAGAGAGGTCGTAAAACGAGAAGCGCACAATTGCCAGTTTCTGGCGAGGCAATAAAACATCCAAATCGTCGGCTGCTATTAATTTCAGCAATAAACGGGAAGCCCAAGCTAGTGAATTTTCCGCCTTTTGAACAAATCAAGCAATGGGATGAGGATCTGAGGAACAAAAATAGAAGAGCACAGAAGTCTTGGCTCGCTAATCTTCAAAGGAACAGATTAAGACAGAGAGAGCAAAAAGCAACAAGTTGGGGGACAAATTGGACAATTTATCACTGCATTTGATAAATGAATTGATTACAAAGTGAGATCCATAAATTTTTTTATTATTGAAATTGGAAAAGAAGAAAATTACATGCCATGGAAATGAGACTAATCGTTTTCGTGCACGATTCAATAAAAGAAAAACTATATTTTTTATAAAATGACGAGTCGTAAAAGAAAGAGGGCCGAGCAAAAATTGACTTTTCATGTTGATGTATAGCTGCGGAATTTACGATCGGCGCACGCTCCTATATTACGGCGTGAGTGTCAGGCGCGCGGGTCTGTCTCATCCCGTCGTCCGCATTTCGCATCAATACGCCCGAGCTATTTTCGAATCGCGAATCGTTCGGCCTAGATCGATGATGAATGAAACCGGCGCTGCTACACACGAGCGAGTCAGTCCGTCCATTAGCAAGCAAAAAAAAAAAAAAAAAAAAAAAAAAAAAAAAAAAAAAATAGTGCTGCGGTTCCAGACGACGGCACGCACCATAAAAGTAAATTGCACTCCGCACCAGAGTCGTTCTTTATCTCTGTCCGCCCAATAAAAGATAAAACGCCTCTATCACTTAATTTGCATAAACAAATGAGTTCTTTTTGATACACTTGTAAAAGAGCATAATTGAAACTATAAAAATGTAGACGGAAGGTAGCGCCTTATCTTTTTTTTTTTATATATATTTTATATATTATTTTTGGTAACAAAGTGTTTAATTAATTTTGATATAGGCTAAATTATACATTTTACGGTATCAGCTTTTACAAGTAAAAAAAGGAATAAAACTAATTATTTAGAACAAAAAATTCGCCTATTTTTTATGAAATCGATTTTCTAGCACATAGTGTTAAACCTTTTTCACAAGCTCATCATCATCATTACTGCAACATTTAATATTTTCTGGTAATGCATTAAATATTCTTGGTATCATAGCAGCAGGACTGTCTTTAGATATTTCCAACTCTTTATCATTTGCAATATTAAATTATGTAATTGGTTCGAGGCATTAATTAACTCCGCTTGATTCATTTATTATTAATTGCCGTAGAGCACTTGATTTATTATTTGATCGCTTAATTTTATCATCATTAATTGCCGTTTCATTATTTTGTTTTGTTTTTAATTATTGATTTCTATTCTGGATTAGTAATAATTTTACATTTCTGTGATAATTCAAATAGTTCATTTTTTAACCTCAGTTTGTGCAGATAGTTTAATTTTCCCCTTTTGATTTACTCTCTTTATAGTCTTTTTCATAGGAACAGAAGCTTCAAATTAATGAATCAACGTATGTACTCATAAAAAGCTCAGCTTATCCCGTTCGTCAATGAAATATACAGCAGGGAAAAAAAGAAATTGAAGTATTTACAAGTTATTTTTGTAATGTATAGAATTTGTGAGAACTAACAAACTTTCGATAAAGAACTTGATTTTTAAAACTCGAAAAGTATTTACTTGAAATTCTCACCTGCCAAATTGGCTGTCAGGGATTACGGGGCGTCAACGGCGATTTAAAAATGATTGAAATTGCCAAAAGGTTCCACAACAACTACAAGAACCTATATTTAATAACATTTAATTGTAGTTAAAAAATTTTCAATTAATTCTAGGAAAGGTACGAATTAAATTTGGATGTCAATATAAATTTCTCCTGATTTTTCTATGAAATTGGGAGTTTTAGTTTCAATATTGAAACAAAAACGTGCATTTACCAATTCAAATAACGTTTCCTTGCCATAAACAACAATAATAACTTTGATAAGAATTGATACTCTTTTCCCACTTTAATTTTTTTTATATGACAGAATAAATAATGGAAGAATTGATTCCTACCTGTAACAGGTTTCTGATGAGCTCTTTCAGGTCAGTGCTGAAGTGCGGCGGGCACCTGTACCTGCCAGACACAATCTTCTCGTAGATTTGCATCTGGTCTTTGGCGTAGAAGGGCGGGTGGCCGGCGGCCATTTCGTACAGCAGCACCCCGAACGACCACCAGTCGACGGATTTGCCGTAGCCCTTGGACAGAATCACCTCGGGCGCCAGGTACTCGGGGGTGCCGCACAGCGTCCACGTGCGGCCCTCGATCTTCTTGCAGAAGCCCAGGTCGGTCACCTGCACGTAGCCGGTCGAGTCGATCAGGATGTTCTCGGGTTTCAAGTCGCGGTACACCAAGCCCAGGTAATGCAGGTACTCGAGCGCCAGGGCCACCTGAAACGGAAAAACCACACTTTGTTAAAATTACAAATTATCTAACAATTTTGTTATCTCTTGTTTTAACGAAAAGCTTATGTTTTCTACAAGTTCTGTAAATAAAACTTCTATTCTTTTTTCCATAAGATCAATGTAAAATTTTCATGGCGACGGTCATATTGATTTTATTTTTTCATCTTAATTGGGGTGATATGAGCGTGATTTGCTGAAATTTTTGTCAATTTTGAGAAAAAAATATTTTAGAAAATTCCCATCAGAAATAATCTTGAATTCCAAAAAAATCATTTCTCTCAAATTTTCTTGCTATGAGAAGAATTAACATGAAAATGAATGGGACCGTATTTTAGCAAAATCCCCTCCTTAAATCGTTATATCAAGTTTTAAAGAAAAATAAATGAGGCTCAGCACTGCTGCGGATGGGTTTTTTTATTTAGGAAATTTTAGCAAAATTCTTGATAGTGGTTGTGCCATTTTTTCCTGCGATTTCTTTCTTTTCAAATAAATTGTTTTTAACAATTGAATTTAAACAATGTGGTATATCAATTTTGACAATTAAACCAACATCAATAATAAGTAGGCTTGCGCATTTTAGTCGGCTTTTACAGGTCAAAAAGTCAACTATTTTTAGTTGATTTTACAGATATTTAGTCGCCTTTTTTAACTGGTTTTGCCAAAATAGTCGGTTTTAGTTGATTTCTTTAATTTAGATTTTTGGAGCTTTTAAGTACATGAATATAACCAACTTTTTTTTTAATTTACATTAATAAATCTCCATTTTTGGAGGTATAAACATTATTTTATCACCCATTTTTCATCATTTGTAAATTTCCTAACTAGAAATTTTGCAGAACTTTGTGATTCTATGATAACTTTATTAAGAGAGGATGCAATTGAATTTTTCTTAGCATTGTTGAAGATAGTAGGTCAATACGGTAATTTATTAAATGTGTGTTTGGTTTGATATTTGGTAATAAAATTTAAATAATTTTGTTTTAAAATTATAACTCATAATTCTCTAAAATGGCTCAAAAACACGTTTTCCATTCCATTATTGAAAGTTATGAATTTATCGTTCATCAGATATTCTATACCTTTTCTTGTGATAAAATAAAAGATGATGAAAAAATTCTATTCGCTGCTTCTTTCAGTTGCTTCAATAAAATCTGTATAAAAATAATCTTTAGGTTTTTTTTTACTATTCAAAAATTTTTTTACGGAATTTCGCCGAAAATTTTATTGAAACCATTTTTTTTTTAATTGAAAAGTTGAAAAAGTCTGTCATTTTAGTCTGTTTTAGTCGCTATAGTTGGAAATTGAAGAAATAGTCGGTTTTAGTCGATTTTAAATAGGTGCGAATCACAATAAAATCATTTGATTCATGCAGATATGCATTTTCAAAACGTTCCGAGCGACAAATTTCATCGACTAGAATAATTAACAATTACATTTTTTTATTTAAATACAGCTTTGAAAAGTATTTTGTTATTTCAATTTTCTTTTAGATTCAGCACTGGCTTGAGGTAAAATGTCACAAAGTGAGTTTTGCAACGGAGACATCCCATCCCCCGAGGGGCACCGTTGCTCAACTCCGAGTAAGGAAAAAAAGTTTTATCATTAGGAATTCAGACAATCTTAACTTTAATGGCTCTGGGCTGTTGGCGGCCAATGCGAGCGGCGCCCAGTTTTATACTCATTCCCTGCCGAGAGTGAGTGATGACTCGAAACATTTTCTTCTTCTCAAGAAGGCGAAATTATAATTCGGCCGCACGCACCGGCTTATTTTTATGCCGCTTCACGCGCGCGACACACAAGTAAAAAATAAATAAACGGGAGTGCGACGTTTTCTCTTTCAAACTTAAGAAAATAATAATACTGGTGACAAAAACCAAAATCGTAAAAGATGAGGTTTAATTTGTTTCTAGACGCGCAGAAATAACGAGACAAGGAAAAAATGGTACTTTTTGGCACAAGAGAACTTCAAAAGGTCAGAGAGATCTTTTTTATTTTTAACACAATGCCTGGAAGCTTCAGACTAAAAAAAAGTGGAAAAGTCAAAAGTAAAAAACCAGAAACATTTAATGTGCTTATAAACAATCAAAACCTTTTTACAATTTGATTGAATAAAAAAAAAATATGCATCTTTAAAAAAAAATTAATTATTTCTTCTTCTTGCAGCATAAGTTTAATTTCTAATTAATTATTTATATCAAATCTCGATTTGCGTATTCGTAATTATAATTTTTAGCAATGTCTTAAGATTTTTTTGTTCCATAAATAATATAAATAATAGTGGCACACGTTATACAAAATCCATCATAGAAAATGAGAATAAATTAAGCCAAGAAAAATAGGAAAAAAAATCAGCAAAATTGAAAAACGCCACATTTCTTAAACAATTAACTCAAAATTTCAATTCATTTATTCTCTCGCAACAAGTCAAACAAAGATTAAAAAAATCACATTGGGAGAGAATTGGCAGCCAGCTCTAGTAAACAACTTACTTAAACTCGTGAGATCTTAAAACGAAAAATTCAAGTACATTGAATTATTAGTCAGCAAACAGCGCGTTCGCTCACGAAATACTTGAATTTGCTAGTTTTAAGATTTTTAATTTTTGGAAAAAATTGCTGATTATTTTTCCTTAAGCAACGAGGAAAAGATCGATCTCTTCAATGTAAATTTCTTCAAATAAATCCTTTTATTTTTTAATGTATTTCGTTGAAGAAGAAGAAACGAATATTTTGCTAAGAGCTTTAACTGGTGTTGTAAAAAATTATAATTATTTAGAAAGAATAAAATGCCAAAATTTTATAATATATGAAAATTATGCACACCTGCGCGCCGTAGAATCTAGTCTGGACCTCGCTGAATTTTCCCTGGCGTCGGAGGTGGGTGAACATCTCGCCACCTGAGATGAAGGGTAGCACGAGGTAGAGGTTGTCGTTGTCCTTGAAGCTGAACTCGAGGTGCACGACGAAGGGGTGCCTGATGCACTGCAGAATGCGCTTCTCGTTCAGCGTGTGCTCCACCTGCTTCATCTTGACAATCTTCTGCTTCTCGAGCAACTTCATCGCGTAGAACTGCTTGGTCGGTCGGTGGCGCACCAACATGACGCGTCCGAACGACCCTGTGCCCAGGGTGCGGATCCGTTCGAAGTCGTCCAGGCTGCACGTCGGCGGCACAGCCTTGCCCTCCCAACGGGCCATGAAGTCATTCTTGGCCTCGGACAGGAACTTGTCGCCCGCCCCGCCGCCCCCGGTGCTCCACGGCGGCGGCGAACGGGCCTTCGAGCTGCGCTCTTTGTCGCTCGTCAGCTCGTACCTGTGTCCGCTGCCTTCCGAGCCGCGCACCATCATTGCTACTCTTTCTGATCGGCTGCTGCTGCTTCTTTTTCCTTCTGCTGCACCGCCGCCGCCACCATGCGATCGATCCGCCGCTGACTCGCTAACAGGTTCACCGACGAGTTCACCTACTTCGCTTTGGTGCTCACTCGGTTGGTTCGGTTCAGTAGTGGTGCTCGGTGCTCCTCCTCTCGCTCTCCAACCCTGCTTCAGTCACCGCCGCCAGAGGCGCTTCGCCCGCCTATTAAAAATCTTTGGATTATCGCCTGAGGCAATTTTTACAAAAATAACCGGTTTTAATAAAGTGTCGTTATTGCTTTTAAAGGATATTACTGATATTAAATTTAACTATTGGCATTAATATTTTTAAAATATAAAATTTTTCATAAATTTAGCAACATTATTTTAGATTAGATCCAAAAAATTTAATTTTGGTTGCCAGTAAATTTAATATAAAACCGGTTGTTATTATTGCAAACACTGGTACCGGTTCTTTAACTTGTTTATTTTGAAAATTGTGACCCTCGTGAGTGCTCGTGAGTCTAACGCCGAAAACTCTGTGTTTTTTTCAATTAAACTTTTGTTCTGTGGCACAGTTGAGCAAGCAAAATGATCGCGCCTGTGCGACCGGAGTTGTTGGAGCTGAGGAACCACTTCAAGAAGAACAAAAAGATCAGAGATTACCAGGCGCATTCGTCGAAAGTGCACTCGGTCGGCTGGAGTTGCGACGGAAAAAGATTGGCATCAGGCTCCTTTGACAAAAGCGTCACTATTTTCACCCTCGACAGAGATAGACTGGTTTGTATTCAAATTATCCTATCAGGATCTCACCCAATAACAATTATCTATTTTTTCAGAGCAAAGAGCACACTTTCACCGGGCACGATGGAAGTGTCGACCAAATCTGCTGGCACTCCACCAATGCCAATTTGCTGAGCACCGCCAGTGGTGATAAAACTGTCCGAATCTGGGATTCTCGAGCAAAGAAATGCGTGTCAAAAATCAATACAAAAGGTATGATTTTTATGTCAATTGAAATAATTAATACATATTGATTGTATTAGGAGAAAACATCAACATTACTTGGTCTCCTGATGGTAGTACAATTGCTGTGGGCAACAAGGAAGACCTGGTCACATTCATCGACACACGGACAGATAAAATCAGAGAAGAGAAGCAGTTCAAATTTGAAGTGAATGAGATCTCGTGGAACAAAGACGGAGACCTTTTCTTCCTAACAAACGGCCAGGGATGCATTAATATTTTGAGGTTTATTTCATTTACTTGAATATCCTTACATTTTTATCTATAAATTGATTTCTCTAGCTATCCCAATCTTGAGCTTCATCACATTCTTCAGTGCCACCCAGGAACATGCATTTGCATTGAATTCGATCCCACTGGTAAATATTTTGCAACAGGATCGGCAGATGCTTTGGTATCTCTTTGGGACGTCAATGATCTTGTTTGCTTGAGGACATTCCAAAGGTTTGAAATTAAAGCACCGAAAAGGACCATGCTAAAATTTATATATTATTTTTAAGATTGGACTGGCCTGTGAGAACGCTGAGCTTCAGCCACGACGGCAAACTTTTGGCTTCAGCATCGGAAGACTTGATCATTGATATCGGCGATGTCGAATCTGGAGAGAAGGTCACAGAAATAACGGTGGAAGCAGCCACCTTCACGGTTGCATGGCATCCGAAGCAGTACCTCTTGGCGTTTGCGTGTGACGACAAGCAGGAAAGGTACGAGAGAAAAGGCGGCTCAGGTACTGTCCGACTGTTTGGATGCTACGGTACCAATGAATGAATCATGTATTTTTTATTGAATTAAATAGTTAAGGCAACATAGGATTAAACAAAAAGAGGTGATTTTCTTTTGTAAAACCATATTATATATATTTTTTTAAATTTAGTCTTTTATTTAGGCAATTTCGAAAAAAAAATATTTTTTTAGTCATAAATAATTTAGAATTTGGCGTTCTGTAAGAAATGACCAATGGGAAAATGCTTTATGTTGGTTGTGAAAATTGTTTTATTACAAAAAAAAAAAAAAATGCTTCTTCCATTTTTGGTCACGGTCTGAAACCCTATTTCATGAGAATTCTCTTATATTAATCAGCGAGCAGTGCGTTTCCTCAATTGCTCTAAAATAGGGTTGCAGATGGTAGCTATGACATAGAGCGGGTTATTTCTTTTATAAAACATTTTTACGACAAGGAAAAGTCCGTTTCTCTAACCTCCATGAATTTAGAACTAAAAATTCAAATTATAAGACATCGAATTATCTCAGAAAACTCTTTATTAGAGATATCCATCATAAGACTTCATATGAAACTTAGCTTAATGAGTTGACATCATTCAATCGCGCAAAGCGCACCATTCAAAGGTTTTGATTGCAAATCTACTCTACATTAGTGTAAAAATATTTATCATTCAATCTAGCAGTCAAATGCTGCAATTTTTACTCCTCACTTTGTACCAAGTTTTGTTTCAAATGCATAAACACCTAAAACTGTCTAAAAAATTAAACAAATTGAGGGAATAATAGGGATATTGACAAAAAAATGACTCGAAAAATACGTCTTAAACCCACTTGCTTGGATCCAACTGAAGATTCAAGCCCAGAACCTGGAATAGGGACCCGACTCGAGATTTGGGATCTCCCTTGCTGAACCTCAGTCTCTTGTTCAAAGCTTTGGCAAGAGGGTCATTGTTGTGATCATACTTTTTCTTCGGCTTGCCCTCCTTTGAGTGGACCTTGACCACGTGCTGGTCCAGTTTAGCTTTGGAGGCAAATGACTTTGAACAAGATTGGCATGGAAGCTTTGTGTCGGGAATTTTTGGAGCGAGATCAGTAGTTTTCTTGACGCTTTTTGACTTGCGGTCCGTGTGCTTTGCTTGAGTTTTCACAGACCCTGCGGCAAACTTCATCAGGTTCGGGTCGACCCTGTGCTCCATCTGGGCGTGGATTTTCATGTCTATGTTTGTGGCAAAGTTTATTCCGCAAAGAGGACATGAGTGAGGAAGTTTTTTCGGCTGGGTGCGACGCCTCTTGCTTGCTTTCAGTCTTTGGAGGTTGACAAATGGCTGGTTCTTGACAATCTCACGATGTTCGGGACTCAATTTTCCCATCAGGCACTTGTGAGTCATGTCCAAGGAGCAGGACAAGTCGAAGGTTTCGTCACAATGAGGGCAGGTTTCATATCCTCCAAAGATGCCTGTTAAAAAATTTTTATTACAATTAGAGACAAATATTAAGTACACTGTAAATATTTAATTTATGGGTTCGATAAGGATTTATAACAACATTGCAGTTGTGGAAAAGTTTTGAATCTTAAAAAATACATTTCCAGCTAGTTAAGAGTATTTTTCAGAATATTTATAAAGCTTCATCTTATAAAATGACGCAACTATAAAAATTTTTGTTGCAAAAAAGAATTACAGAAAATAGACCCACTTTCGACATGACCATCACTGTCAACAGTGTCAACGTCCATGAAGCAGATATCACTGGCATACGAGGAAGAGCAGCTGAAATAGTCCTCATCGTCATTTTTGGCCACTTGTATTTTTGAGTCGTCCAGCAACCTTTTCCTTTTCTTCTCAGGCTCGACCATAATTTCATCTTTTTCGTGCTCGTCCTTTTTTGGCGAGGTCAGCTTCATTGGACTAATGAGTTGAAGCTCGACGTTGTGGACCATATTCAAATGCATTTGAAGGTAACTGCTCCGTGAGAATTCTGTATCACATTTCTTGCACCTCACAGGGAAGTCGGAATCCAAATCCGAGCCAAGCGAGTGGACCGAAAGCACGTCTTCCTCATCGTCGCTGATGACGACGATCTCCTTCACGGGCCTGTCCGGCAAAGACTTGCGCTTCATTGTCTTTCCTGAAAGTGAACACAAACTCAGTCAAACGAAATTCCCAATTGATTAATAAAAACCTTCCACTGAGTCGAGCATGCCTGACTTTGGCTTTGCCGCGACCGAATTTCTTCGCGTCGGTTTGGCCGCACTTTTGGCCTCGGTGGCCTGCAAGGTCAGCGAACTGCGTGTCTGCATCATTTCACAAACTGCACTGCAGCCTCAGGGATGGAGGATGGATTTGATGGGTGGTCGTCCGCTTTTTCCACACCATGCAAAGGTGAAATCTAAAAACCGACAGAAACAACAACAAAAATCAAGGCGAAAATCACCTGGTGGGGGCGGTCGACGATTTTGGCGCCTAAATTCCACGCGGCAAAACGTGCGCCGACCGTGTTTTGTTTCTCTGTTGAAATCGAGAGCGACACATCGTGAGTTGCAAAATTAGCTGCGGTCAGATCATCAAAATGAAGTGTTTTACACTGATAATGCATTATGTACTTATAAAGTTACCAGCATTCAACAATTTCAACACGTTATATAATAAAATAAAAAAATTAAAACTTTACCTCTGAAGTTCTCAAGAGTTTTTGCTCAAATTTATTCAAAAAGTTCAATTAAAAAAAAAAATAAAAAAGATATGAATATATTAGCGAAAGTTTCAAAAAGGTACTCGTCATGATACTGAATTTTTTTTTTAATAATTAGAGTTATTTAAAATTTATAATAAGGATAAGAATAAAAATAAGCAAATGCAAAACTGAGCAAAACTTCAGCAAAGTACACATTGTAATAAGGAATAAAAAATAAATTTACTGAATTTCGATTACATTTTATGGAAATTGGGAGTAAAATAATAAAATTTGGTGAAATTTTTAGTAAAAGAAAAATTTAAAAAAAAAATATAAGCTGAAAAATCATATTATTATTATGAACATCTTTAATCTTGTCAATTTTTGGAAGAATTTCTCGATCGAGGGTTGATTCATGGGTGGTTTATTATGTCGCATGAATGATTTGAAAATCTTTGAAGCTTGACTTTTTCTGAGAAAATAAGTTGAAATGAATAAATTAAAACAAATCACGCTTTCACTGAACAATATACTCACTAAAAAGGATTTAATTGTTGGTATTAAAAGCTTCCATGGGTTTATTAGGCCGCATGAATGATTTGAAAATTTGCTAACTTTTTCACTCATGTTTCTGAGTTTAAACTTTTTATTTTCTCAGCAGCATGAGTGCAAAAGATGGCAAATTTTCCAAATCACTCCTGCGACACAACAACCCCATTAAAGCTTAATTTAAAATCGACTTTTCCTTGATGGGTTTTGTGAATTTAATATTGTGTAAGAAAAACAATCCTGCTCTACATGTTTTGGCTGTAGCAATAATTCATGATCTGTGAAATCATTTTTTTTTTACATGTGCAAAATTCCATGTTTTAAAAAAATATTGTTCTTTCACATTAACAATTTTCCGTGAAATATTATTTAAAGAACTAACATTTTTACACAAAGCCATTTTTAACACAAAATTTGACATCGATTTTTTTTTCAACAAATTAATTTTTATCATTATTTTGGTCAGAATATTGAAACGTTTATTTTGAATGTGGTCGACAGTCGACAGGATATTTTTTTTCCTAAGCAATAAGCAACTCTCAAAACTCATCGAGGAAGAGGCGATTTTAAATTAAAATCACCATCTTTAATCTTGTTTTTAAAATGCACATCATTAAAACTCTTCAATTAAAAAAATCTGACAAATATAAAATGTATTCCAAATTCAAAGCGATTCAAAGCAAAAATTTGGAAAAACCACAATTAAAAAAAAGCTTTCATCACGTTTACAGAACATTCTAGATAAACAATTTAGTACTAAAAAGCATTCAAAATGTGGGCGCATCATTTTCAAACAAGCGTGACTTTGCTTTTCTCGGCGCACTTCATTATACTGTGGATCCCGGCCGCTTATCTTGAATCAGCGCATTACGTCACCCCGAAAATCATATAAAAATAAATAGTTGAGCTGAGCATAAAAAAACTCCAGTCACTTTTCACACCACGAGGAGGAAACACCGACCGAAAAAAGTATGGCCCCTGCCGATATCCCGAGTGTTAAGTTTTCGGACGGAAGTTCGGTTCCAATTCTGGGTCTAGGAACTTGGAAGGTATATTTCTTGTATTTTTGAATTTCCAAACAATTAAAAATCAAATAATTCAGTCAAAACCTGGCGAAGTGAAAGCTGCGGTGGAGGCGGCGATTTCGGCCGGTTACCGCCACATAGATTGTGCACCGGCTTATGATAATGAGGCCGAAGTTGGCGAAGCAATCGCGAACAAGATCAAGGACGGAACCGTCACCAGAGACCAACTCTTCGTCGTTAGCAAGGTAAAAAATTTCCTTTAAAAGTAAAAAATAAAATAAATACTCTTGGACAAATTGATTTTATAGCTTTGGCAAACATATCACGAGCCGGAGGTGGTTGAAGAAGGACTGAGGACGACGTTGAAGGATCTCAAACTTGATTACCTCGACCTTTACCTTATTCACTTCCCTGTTGGCTTCAAGGTATGGTTTTTACTCAAAATTAAATTTACAATTTGCAGAATTTGCGTTTACTCTAAAGTACAAAAGTTTATTAAAAATTGCTAATAAAATTAAAAAAAAAATTTTTAATGTTAAAATATTCATGTTCATAATAATCAAATTTATTCAGTTAATTAAATAAGTTTAAAAAAAGAATTAAAAAATTAAACAAAAAATAGAAACTATTGATTTTTGATCATTATTTCTTTTTATTCATTTCCTTCTGATGAACTTCATTTATTTTTAATTTTTAATAATATTAATTTAATATTTATTATAATAAAAAAAACAGCAACAATCTGGGAGCACCTCTGCTCGAGATGCGAACAACGTGATTATTACAACCGACAGAGATTACGTGGACACATGGAGAGCGATGGAAAAGTTGGTCGAAAAAAAGCTGGTGCGCTCGATCGGCGTTTCCAACTTCAACGAGGAGCAAATCGACCGTATCTTGAAAAACTGCTCCATCAAGCCTGCCACGAACCAGGTTATTCATTAATAAAAATTTCCTCTTATCGCTCCATTCTCGTTACATAAGTGTCCGGCGTGATATCGATAAGGCACTTAATTGATCTCCAACAGGTTGAATGTCATCCTTATCTCATCCAAAAGTCGCTCTCCGAGTATTGCAACAAGAACGGAATCATTTTCACCGCCTACAGCCCGTTCGCCAGCCCTGACAGGCCCTGGGCAAAACCTGACGAGCCCAAGTTGATTGAAGACCCCGCTATTGTTGCTATTGCTAAGAAATATAACAAGACGACGGCTCAAATTCTTCTTCGCTACCAGGTTATAAAACTAACTAAATTTCAAATTTGAATAATTAGCCTATATAAATTAAGCCGAAAATTATTCTAACTAAAAATAAAAAACAGATCCAACGGGGACACGTGACCATCCCAAAGTCAGTAACTCCTGCAAGAATCGTGCAAAACGCCCAGATTTTTGACTTCAAACTGTCACCTGAGGACGTCGAGGCGATCGAAAAGCTGGACAGACCGGACGGACGTGTTTGTCTACTTTCATTGTAAGTCTTGTTAAAAACGTACAAATCAAATTTCTCAATTTAAAATATTATTTCAGCTGCAAAGGCCACAAGTATTATCCGTTCTGAGGACTTCTGTGAAATGTGCGGTTATGAATAAAATTTACGATTTGACACATTGAAAGTATTTATTTTGCTGTTTACTTTTATTTTTCTTAGTACCAAATAAATAATGACAGATGCTGGGGTACTGTTTGTCCGACGTTAAAAATACATTTTCCTGCGTATTATCACATAAAACCTCAGAGAAAAATTAAGCTATCGACCAGTCAATTTTGATTTTAGGCCCGTGGTTTCCCATTTTGATGTTTGTTCGTTCAAGCTTAACTTTCCTTTGATCCCTGTACAGATGCAATTATCACAAAATTGTTCTCCAAATTCCACAACATCGCTCGGTAAAAGTAGTTTGCGTTTTAAAATGACGCCTCGTAATATTTTTATAATTGCTGATCAAACACATTTATATCTTTTTCTTAATATCTCATAAACTCAGGAATGCGTAACAATCAGACAGCGATTAATTAACATTGCAAATATAGCAGTCAGGTTCGCTTGACTAGGCTTTCTCCAACGAACAGGTACACATTTTTCGCACACAGACGGGAAAAGATCTCCAAAACTTTACCAGCGAAGCCTACAAAGACAAAAAATTAAATCTGAGGAAACATCAGTCGAAAAATCGAGATCAACAATTGTATACTTTGAAATAAAAAAAACGATTTCCTGACCAGAACAAACAAAATTAGCATAATACGCTGGTGTTTAAGTATGACAAAAATGTGCGCCGCGATTTGCTTTTTCGAGCGTTTTGCAAAAGTAATTATAAAAAAATACACTATTTTTATATGACGAAGATTGATACTTTCATAATTGACACAATTCTCCACATTAAGTAAAATTCTCCAAATCCGAGTTTGACGGCTGCAAAGCGGGCATTCTGGGCGACGAAGGCCAGCACGGCTCCATGTTCAGTGAGGTGTCGCAACCTGTCACCCTCACTTCTGGCACTTCGCCAGCTGGACGCTGCAACACCATTCATTCCAAACAATTACATGACGGCTCAGAGATTGCTGCTCTTGACATGTTTGCAAAGGGAATAAAAAAATTGCCATTTTCCTTCCTATTGTTTGTCTCGAAGTATCCTCTTACTATAATATATAGGCCATAATATTGCAAATGAATGAGAGATATTATTTTCAATCTGCTTCCAACAACCAGATCAATAATGAATTTAAATCTTTTAAATTGAATGGTAACAGTCAAGGTGGATTTCATGAAAAATTGAAACCGGGTTCATTTTTTCTTTGCAACGAGGTTCGGCCGGTTTCAATTTTTCAAAAATCTTTTAGTACGAGTTAAGAAGACAGAAATAATTCAAATAAATATTTCTTCCTTGATTGATTTAAATTTGGCCTACAAATTGTCAAGCGTTTCAGTAAACTATTGAATAATTTAGCCAGACATTTCATTTTAAGTTTTTTTCTTACCATAAAAACTAGAGGATACGCATTTAATCCGCCGTCAGCAGGAGCGGCTGTGGTTGACCCGTGACAAACAGACTCGTCCGTCGCAGGGGGCCGTCGGAGGTCGGGCTCTGTGCAGCCCAGAAGCCAGTATGTTGTGACCCGACCCTTGCCCTTAAGCTCAACTTCTCCCCTCAACTCCAGTTGGAAGGTGCCGAATCGGCTGAGGATTTGCTTCGTCGCGTCGCTCACGTGAATGCGCAGAGCTATTGAGCGAAAAATCATGTTTTATTTTGAAATGAATTTTGGTGAATTTTACCAAGTCCGCTGGATTCCATCCGTGAAGCAGTGTTCACCGTGTCACCGAAAAGACAATAGTGAGGCATTTTGTGTCCAACAACGCCAGCACACACAGGCCCTTTAGAAGCAATTTATAATTTTCTTTCATATTTTTTGAAATCTTCATCTCAAACCTGAGTGAATTCCAATTCTGATTTCAAGCTGCGCATCCGGTCTGTGGGCAATTGTAAAATTTTTAACCGCGTCCAGCACGGCGAGGGCTAAAAGGGCCACTTCTCTGGCGTGTGCGTCCCCATTTCGCGTTGGCAGTCCCGACACAACCATGTAAGCGTCACCTATTGTTTCCACCTGACGATGAAAAGAATTTAATACTTCAACTTATTTAAATAAATATTTTATAATACTTAATTAAAAAAATCCTTACTTTATAAACATCGTAGTAGCCGATGATTTTGTCGAAAGTGCTATAGAGGTCGTTTAGGAAACCAACAACCTGGAAAATGAATGAATTTAATTATTTTAAATGGATTTAAAATAGGCTAGAAATAAAATTAATGACCTGCATTGGAGTGCTGTGGACGCAGAGTGAAGTGAAGCCTACAATGTCACTGAAATAAATGGTAACGCACTCGAACTGCTCAGGTTGCACCACTTGACCTGACATGAGTTGTTCAGCAACTTGTCTGCAAAATTTATACAACACTTCAGAGAAGAGGAAACGAGGGAAAATTGTGATTTTCTATTTCTGTGTATAAAAATATTCAAATTTGAAAATATTTATAAAGAGGCTTTTGCGTGCAAAAGAAGTTTCTCTTTTCAAATAATTAGAAACTCGCCTGGGCAAGACTTGGTACAAAAGCTCTTCTGATCTTCTTTTCTCCTGGCTGAGGGCCTCGGTTTTTTCGCTGACGAGCGCCTCCAAATTGGTTGCGTATTGTTCCATGCGCCTCAACAAGTCGTCCATGAGATTTTCGCAGTGTCCCCTGAGATTAATTAAGATTTAATTATCAAACCACCAAAAAAGGAACAGGCAGACGCAGTAATTATACTGCCAAAAGTTTTGATGTTTTTTAGAAGCTAATTACGAGATAATTAAAAGTTTCTCACTTCATTAGTCTGCGGATTACGGTCCTGATGGCCTCGAAACTGGGCCTTTCGTCTGGGATGTCGGCCCAGCACTTCTCCATAAGCTCTTTTAAATCCTCCTCTTGGCCGTCTCTAGCGGCCACCGCCGGCCTAAATGGAGGTGTTTCGCGGGCGGCCACCCTAGCCACGACATCTAAAAATAAAACAATTAAATTGAAAGTGATTTCATTTTCCTATTCAATGAATTCTGTTCTTATGAATAAATAATTGCTGTTTATTAAAATTAATAAATAATTTTTATATTTTTTATCATAATTATTTTTTTGTATATTGACTTAAAGTAAGATGCTGTGCATTTTAATGTCTTGACTGGAAAATGGATAAATAAAAAAAATTATTTTTGAAAAGAGTTAATTATTCTTCAAAGAAAAAAATAGCCATGTGCAATTATAATAAAATTATGATAATTTAATTGCATTATAAATGGAGATAGATGTAAATTTTAATATTTCTTGTTCTAATAATTTAATACAAGATAAAAAACGGTAGATTGAAACAATAGGAATAAATTTTTTTATAAAATTTCAAAATAATACTGTACAAATATTAAATTTGTAATAGTTTGAGTAAAACTGTGTCAAGTGTAAACATTTTAGCTTTGAAAAAGCATTTAGCGTGCTATTTTTCATTATACAAACATAATCGACAAAAGTTTAAATTAATTAAGTAACGACCAAGAAAGTTGGATCAGTAACTTTGAGGGGCGAATGGAGAGCGAACGTCCCTCGACACACATAAATCCATTACGCGCAGAGATAGACCGTCGCGTTCTTCTTCCTTACAAAGCAAACAGGGGCCAGAAGTGCGGTGCTCAAGAGACCGGCGCCTAATCTAATTTACCTTGCGGACCGAGGAACTGCGATGCTGCTTCGTACGGGCCTCCGCGCACGATTATTTCCTCGAGGATGATGGCGAAGCTGTAGACATCCCCCTTCTGGGTCGCAGGGGTGCCCGGGACAATTGTCAACGGCAGCAGTTCCGGCGCCACCCACAGCAGCTCTGGAAATAATGGGAGATGGAGCTAGAAATTTTGTGTTATAAAACAACACTTTCAGTCGAAATAAAAGCGCGGACGTGTTCAATAATTTTGTTAGTCGCATTTCTATGAAAATAAATAAACAAATTTAAACCAATTTTATACTGAATAAATAATCTTTCTGAGAACATGTTTCATTACCTTCAAGAGACGATTAAAGCATAATCTGATTGAATGCTGTTATTTATTGTTAAATAAGATTTGTTAAATGCATCAGTGAGCACGAAATTATAATTTTAATAATTTTGAAATAAATATTTCATTGCAATTTTACGCTGTTTTAAACATAAAAGTCAGAAGGAAAAAATCATTATTATAAATTTATAAACAATTTGATAAATTTTAAATATAAATTAAAATGGTTTTAAATTTTAAAAAACAAACAATAATATAAATAAATGTATAAAATTACAAATTAAATTTAAATTTTTACAACTATTTTAAATTGTAATTAATTATACACCAAAAGCAAATTAAAAATAACCTGCAAACAATAAACAAAAACAGTTTGTTGTAAATAAATATATGCTCTAGATCAAACTGTCAATCCGACTTAAAAATTAATAGAAGAAGCAAGAACTAAATTAATATGTATTTATTTTGAATAACCTATATATTCATGTTTTATTATTCAAATCGTTTAAGCAGATATTTTTTACTTTTTCCATTTAAACTGATAATCAGAAACAAAAGATTTTTTCTCGATTTATTGCCAGAGTTGAGAAAAAGCTGACATGCATTATGCATTGCTGGAATGGAAAAAAAACTCACTAGTGTAAAAGTTGCCATCTCTGGCGACCTCCGATGGCGTCGTCAGCGTGTGGAGGCCAAAGTCGGAAATCTTGAGGACAAACCGACCATCGATCAAGCAGTTGGCTGACCTCAGTTTGCCATGGACGCCGAGCTCGCTGCCGTGAATGTAGCACATGCCCTGGAACGAAAAGTCCAATCTCGTTTTCATCTCCATGCAGATTTGCTCTTTTGATCGCTTCGGCCAAGGGTTAATTTCCCTTCCGCCCGAAACACCTTTTGTACGAATTGCGCGTCTCTCTGTGTTTCGAAATGTATCAAAAGCAGTCTTTGCGACGCATTTATACATGCGCGTTCAAATAACTGCTCACAAAAGCGTGAAAAGAAAGAGAGAAAGGCGGGATGAATTTTTCATCTCCAGATCCCCATGAGACTTTTCGCACTTTTCATGACGTGCCGACTGCCGCACTTTCCGACGCGTTATATTGCACGGCTTTTTATTTTTTGATTATTTGTTCTGTTGTCGCTCGAGTTATTATCACGGCACAAAAGAAAATCTTGGGACTTTCCGAGAACTGCACAAAGGAGACTCGAATTACGTGGGCTTGAAATAGATTTTTCCAAGAAAAGGCGTCTGACTAGTTTATGACTTTGGAAAAGTAGAAAAAGGATTTTTTGATTATTCAATATTGGAGCAGATTCCGTGAGGGTAAAATGTTTTTTGACTGAATATTTGAATAATATTGATTTGTCATACAGAATTTAATTCTAAAAACGTAGTTTTATAAAAAATTCCAGACTTTTCCATCAAAATGTTTAAGATGAAAATTCAACAAAATTTTATTTTTATTATTTCCCACACAGCCCAAACTAAAAGTTTTGTAACTTTTGGACTGTTTTGGACCACAATGTGTTCTTCTTGAAAAATTTGAAACTTTTAATATTAATATTTTGCTTAAAAATCATAATTAAGTTGAAAAAAGGTTTCGGAGAATTTTTAGCAAAATTCTTGTGGTGGTGCCGTTTTTTCCAAAAATTCCTTTTCTTTTCAAATAAAATGTTTTCAACAAACAATGAGATGTAAAAATTTGGCATAATAAATAAATATGAAGAGAATGTAATTAAAAAATAAAGCTAGAATTGAAAAAGAAGAAAATTGACAGATTGCATGTATTTTTTGTCAGAAATGAAGAAATATTTGACTTGCCTTGACCATATCGTGGATGAGCGACATCCTGAAGTTCCAGTCGAGAGTGATCGCCTCGTTCTCCAGCACGTCCTTGAGGCTGCCTTTGGGGCAGTACTCGGTGAGGATCACGACCCCGGGCGAGGCGTCAATGCAGGCGCCCACGAAGCGCACCGTGTTTTCATGAGTCACGTCGCGCACCTGTTTGATCTCCCACAGCAGCTTCTTGTTGACGTCCACTTTCTTGCGGGCAACTTTCTTCACGGCCACTCGCGTACCCTGATTAAAAGTTGAATTTTTTCTTTTTAAAATTTGCACAAAGTTGGAATCAAAATAAATTCATAAAATTATTTATATAATTGATATTTATTTAAATCAAATAAAAATTAAAAAATTTCTCTACTTCTGATATATATTGCAAAATATTAAAGAAATGTTTAAAATAAAATCTAATAATTGCCCATTTTATTTTGCAAATTTTGTTCAAATAGTTGAGCAGGAAATTGAATGAGTCAGAATGTGAATTTTTAAATCAAAGATGAATCACGACAAATACCTTGAAAATGCCGACGGTGGTGAAGGCTTGTTGGCCGATGTTGAGGGAATGCGAAGAAGTGACGGAGCCGCGGGCGCCGGCGGCCACCCCTAATCCGACCAAATCCAGGCCCACTTGACCCTGCGAGTGCGAGAGCAAAAGAGAGAAAGAGAAAAGGAAATCGGCACCGAAGCTCACACGAGAGGTATAGAAAGACCCTTACCTCCGACATCCACTGTAAGCCCTGTCTCGAGGCGCACGGCTCCGGTTTGATGTCCTCTGGACGAACCCGCCACGACATGTTGTTCAAATCGGCAGCGGCGCGCACGTGCCTGGAATCACAATTGCGAGATTTGCATGCCGAATTCTGGTTTTGAGAATTTACAAAATGACGCAAATCTCCTTTTACAAGATTAAAACCGTGGGATTACAACAAGGGTTTGGAGTTCACTGATTGTATTTAGCATTATATTGATACATTTTGGAATTAAACAGTTTCAGTCTAAATTAAACACCAAATTAAAGAAATATAATTTATGAAACATATAATTATTTTCTGGATTTTTTATTAAATAAAAAAATTTACTTTCTCTCAATTTAATATTTTTGTTTTTGTGTCACTATCTGACTTTTTTATTGTTCTACCAACTTTTCATGTAAAAATATAAATTTTATCTGCAAACTCATATTAAGGAAGTGACAATTAAGATTGATAAGGAATATACGCGCTATTCATTTAAATTATTAAGTGGGGAAATGTAGGGAAATTTTTAAGATTGCAAATTTTTCAGCCATGATTATATGAAGAATTATTAACAAACCTGTACGTGATGCACGCCAAGGTAGTTCCAGATACGATGAATGCGAGCAGTGCGAATGACACGTAGAAAATAATACTAGGGTAAGCGTCGTCTACGGCGAAAAGGGCCAAAATCGTTTCAATATTTTTCGAATAGCGCTTCTTGTTACCTGTCGGGCTGAGACACCCCTTGCCTAAGAAACCGCACTCGGGCTCGTCAGGCGGCGGTTTTCCGTTGGGCCAGTGGATGCTGCGTCCGAAGCGAGGCTTGAAGGTCTTGTTTATTCCGGTGTGGTTACCTACCTCTTCAAACTTGCCCAGCTTCGGGTTGAAGTCGTACAGGGAATAGTCTGCGTCCCTATCACCGTTCTCGTCGATTCGAACTTGACCCGTTATACCTAAAGCGTCAATTTTAATTAAACTTTGAATATAATATTTCCAAAATAAAGGTTTTTCAACAATTTGTTTGTAAGCAATTTGATGTAACAATTTGAACAAATAAACAACAATAATAATAATAACCTGAATATTTTTTTTTATGTTATTGCGAAAATATTTAAAATAACAAACAACTTTGAAGAGGCGTGAGAGAAAAATACATGAGAGGGGTTTGGAACTTGCCAGGAAAGTTTCTGTTCCACATCCGCTTGGTGATATTGACACCGTTCTTGACGATTTCGCCACCTTCGGTGAGCGTCTCATTCAAGGACATGCCGAGCAAGATGACTCCGTCGTAAAAAGCTCCGATGAAAAAGTTGACCTGCAGCAAATTAGAACAGGTCGCCGTGCGGTTCAATTTGCCACCCGAGAAATAGCAATCTTGCGGTGTGAAAATAGAAAAAACGAACGCGAAGCTACACTAATGGAGTTGGTTCGAAAAAAAAGCAACCGGATAATCTCAAGAGACATGCTATGTGACGTTGTTTTTCAAACAATATTTAATTAAAAAAAAAAATCAAATGAATTGTTAAAATGCGGACGAAAGAAATGTTTATTGAAATCAAAATTCGTGTTTTTAGGGAAATTTAGGTTTTTTTTTTTAATTTTCAGGAAGAGAAAGTGATTCTGGTATTTAAATGATTTGAGCTCCAAACGTAGCAAATTTTTTATTCGGATTGATGAATTGAGAATGATAAAAATGGGGTTTCAAAAATTTATTGAAAGAAAAATTCGTGTTTTTAGGGACATTAAAGGAATTCTTTAAATTTTCAGGAGATTAATTAAAGAGAGAATCAATATTCAGTCTAGATTTGAAATGATTTGAGCTCAGAACGTCCAACTCTTTGCTTAGCAAATTGATGAAATTCGGATGAAAGAAATATAATCCATAATTTATCAAAAGTTGAAGCGACAATCAATAATAAATAATTAATTTGAAAAAAAGAAATTTTATAAACTTTCGTGCAATGATATGAATTCAACGTGAAATAAAAATTCAATAATGCCAAAAAATTATTTCGCAACTTGAATTTAGTCGTAAATTTAATATTCATACCTCCTCATTTTCAGGTAAGGTGTAGTTGTAGTCCCTCTCAGCGTTCTGTCGCACATCGACGGCGAACGATTTGAATTTCGGGTCCCTGGGCTGCAGAAGCGAAACCCGCAGCAACGACTGGTACGCCTGACGAGCCTGCGTGTCGTTGGTGTCGTTGCGGTGCCAGCCGTGGTCGCCCCAGTACGAGTTCTGCGTGACACTCGCATGAATATTCATCGTCAAAAGGCGCAAAAACCGCAGCCACGCGCTTTCATCAGCAGTGGTGCGGTTAATTGCGAGAACATGTATCGCTTTGCCTAGCGAATCTACCTCAAAGAGTTCGACGTCCAGAAACGCCCAATCTCCACGCGTCATGTTGAGATAATACGCCTCGAGCAGGAAGTTCCTCGTCAGTGGGCCGCGGACGCTGAGAATAATCACTGGAAAGGCGAGAGCAGAATTTTAATCCGACGGCAATCTTTCTTCCCCCGTTTTGAATTTCATTAAGATAGCTTTGTTTGCACAGAAACGTGGGAATTGTCGGGGGAAGAAAGTTGTGCCTTTCAAGAGTTTAGGGTTTATAAATTAAATTTGCCAAAGAGGGAAAGTGTTGAAGAATTTTTAGCCTTTCGCTTTTTACAAAGGATTATTTATTAATTTTAAATGAGAAGATCAAAGTAAGTAAACATAACTATTGTTTTAAAAGAAATTACTTTTATGAGCTGAATAAACTGGGTAAAATTCAAGCAATGAATTAGAAATATCCTTTTAAGTAGGCTTTAGAATTTTTTAAAATATTTAAAAAAAAACTCTATCAATGAAGGTATTTCTGAAATTATAATTAATTATTTCTTAAAATACAAAATTCTAGAAAACCTTTTGAAAATTGAAATAATGCTCTCTGTCTAGACAAAGAAATTCATCAAAATTTCAGTAACAAATATGAACGAACGTGAGAATATTGTTGACCGACCAAAGAAACTGCTTCCAGTGTGATGAATTCAAATTAAAAAAACCAGAGTTTCTGGAGCGAAATAATTTAATTCCCACATTGAAATGCAAATTAATTTTCCAGGCAAACGGACAGCACAATGCAAATGACGAGCGTATCCGTCCCGTTTTATCACCGGGCGAGAGAGCTCTTTGCTAGTTAGAGAGACTAGAAGAGAACGCCTGCAGCGAGTGTCAGGTAGGCAACGCGCACGTCAGCCGCTAACAGCAGGTTGCATACACAAGCAGCCCCACTTGCACCGCAATGCACCGTCAACTCGGCGGCAAAGTGAGCCTTGGGAAATCATTATTAAATAAATAACTCGGTCGCGGGCAAGAGAAACTTTACGACTTGGAGCTGTTTGAGCAATTATTAATTAAATAGAAGCTAATGGAATCTGATATGGAGAAGGAACAAATTGTCTTCCCTTTTTCTCTTGTTGGTCGGCATCGCCGGAGGCAAAAAGAGTCCGACGGATAAGTTTGCAACTGGAAATGAAGAGAACATAATGCCGTAGTGCCACCGAGTGATCAATGAAGCGCGCAGTTGCGCGAGACGTGTAACAAGAAAAGTAAAAAACTTTCGCAGATCGACCGTTTGATGCAATCAAATACCGACGGCGGCACAGGAGAAAAGTTTGAGATTCTCAAGTTTCACAACAAATGTATAGGCAAAAGGAAAAAAAATGGAGTGGTAATTGGAGCAGATAAGATTTTCGTTGGAAAAGTTGCACCAGGAAATTTGAAATCTAGAAAATATAGGGAATTAATATTTATTACAAAAACAGTATTTATAATGCCGTTTTTTTTCAACGATTCCTTTCTTTTCAAATAAACAGTTTTCAATTTGGACAAATACACAACAATAATAATTTAAAATTTCAATTAGGAGAAAAAAGCGGCAAAATAAATCTCTCCTGTTGAAAATTCTGCAAAATTGTGTATTTTTGTAGTACTAATTTCAACATAACATAAAATTTGAACTATAAATTCTCGGATTGCATAACAGATCATTCAACTGCGCATTTCCGCAGTTGAATCGATTTTCACTCGAAAGCTCAAGTGAGACACACGACTTGGCAAACAAACTAATTAGCAAAGCTATTCACGACATGTTTTGCTGATTCGCGTATCTAAATCAGCGCTCATTAGGGCGGCTGCACTCGTTCTCCGCACACACAATCGGCGGCTCCATTGATCGCGGCGAGCACTCATTGATGGGGGCCGAGAACGGAGCAAGCCAGAGATGACGTTAATTCGCCGCTGCCGCTGCCGCCGCCGAGTGACAGGCAGCTCGTGCTCGCACATGACTTCACCGCCGTAATGAAGGCACTCGTTCGCTTGCCGAGGAAAAGAGGACGCGCGAAATAATGAGGCGCGTTTCACCACCGGCTAATAATAATTTTTCCTCTCTGCGACTTTTCAACATCCAGCTGCGCGGTGGAATACATTGAAATAAAAATTGGTTGAGAGTAAATCAACCTAGGAAGATCAGGTAAGGCAGGTAGAAGTTTGTGTAATTTTTAATGAAACTTCCAATTCGATATTAACATTAATATCAGATTTAGAATTACCTCAGAATCCCAAAATTAGATCGCAAAAAAATATTTTCATGAAATTTGAATCATGAATGATTCTTGCTAAGAATGGTAGTTTATTAATTAAATTTTTGATTTAAATAGAGCCATAAAGTAAAAATATTAACTGAAAATATTTGTGTATATAAACAAATTAATTGAAATAAACAAATTTATTTAATAATAAATACATAAATTATATTTTTTAATATTAAAAAAATTAAGAAATAATTTATTATGATTAACTTACATAAAAACTTATTTAATAATTAAAGATCCTCTCCAGTCAAGTGTATTGCTCTCTATTCTGAAAGATTGCTAAATTTCGAGTATATCTTGTGAAAACACTATTTGAAAATTCCAAACCGTTGCTCTCAATCAAAAGAAGCCCTAAATACCGATAGATTCGCGCGAAAAACGTGTGAGAATTGAGAAGCCAATCAGATCCATAAGTTAGTTCCAAAAACTACAGAATTTGGTCACATTGGCGCTGCGATCGCTGATTTTTCCACTAATGCCCCGCGGCGCTGCAGAAAACTTGGCAAAATCAGCGATCGCAGCGCCAATGTGACCAAGTTTTTGGAACAAACTAATGGATCTGATTGGCTACTCAATTCTCACACGTTTTGGCGCGAATCACTCGTATTTAGGTTTTCTTTTAATTGAGACGCAACGGTTTGGAATTTTCAAATAGTGTTTTCACAAGATATACTCAAAATTTATCAATCTTTCAGAATAAAGAGCAAAACAAATGATCGGAGTGGATCTTTAACATTAAAAATATATCAATATTAATTGCTTTTTACTTTGACAAATTAATATGAAACGATAAATTATTTTCATTTATTGTTCAAAAATTCATTCAGCCTCCCTACGGATTGTTATTTGCAAATAATAATTTTAATCGTAACTTTAGCAGCACCAGAGAGGCCTGCAAAAACGAACGCCTTTGAGGAAAATCGGCTTTTCCATTGTCATTAGATCTCCTCCAAAACTCTCGCGCCGAAGAGCAACAACGGCGGCGGATTGTCGCCCTTGTTGCTGCTCTTCTCGCTGACAAAAGGACGGATGGAGTTTCATTAAGCCGGCGCGGCAGATTAGCTTTCTTGGACGCTCACACACACACACACACACTCTTACTCACCTCGTGCGTAGATGCTGACGTCCTGCAGATGATCAGCATAATCGATATTGTCTTCGCTGCCGTCAAATTCCCGAACGTGAAGCTGGAAGCCCTCTTTCTTCAAGCCGTGCTCCAAGTTGCGACCTGAAACCAAAATGTGAAAATCGCACGCTTTTAATGTATGCAAATATCGTTCTGAAAGTTATCCAAATTGTAAATGTACAAAATGTGATGGGGAAAAAGGTATCACCTGATGCAATTGTAAAAAAAAAAAAAAAAAATTCACTGTAAATAATGCGACTTTCATGAAAATTTAAGGAGTTTTCATCAATTTCCACCTATTTTACTTTATCATTATTGTTAAGGACTCCTTATTGATATAGTCAAATCAAGTCTTTGCAGCAATAGAAGCAATATTTGGCAATTATTGTAAATTTAACAAACCATTGATGTAAAGACTTGATTTGACTTTATCAATAAGAAGTCCTTAATAATGTGTCTTTATAATGATGATATTTAATAAAAGAAGTAATTTTGAATGTTTTTCAGAGCAGTTTTTTACTTTCAAATTCTTGTTTATTTGTGCAAATTGTTACATCACATTTTTTGACATTCAATTGTTGGAAACCATTATTTGAAGAAAAAAGGACAAAACGGCACCACCACTAGCAAGAATTTTTCCAAAACTTCCGAGATCAAAATGCCGGTTTTTTTTATATTATTTTATTTTTACATTATAAAATAAATTCGATGATCAGAAAGATATACTTTTAGTCTTTCAACTATAATTTTTTAAACTATAGCATAATAAAAAATTCTAAGCATTATTTCAACTTAAAGTTAGGATTTTATTAATTTATTTGTTAAATAAGCCTAAATTGAAATATTAAAATAGTTATTAATAAAATTGATAGAGTCCATGCTACATTTTGATTACTTTCAAAACTGCTTCTTTAATTATTTTTTAAATTTTAAAGCAACTGAAGAAGAAATTATGGTCTTTAAAACCAAAGGAAAAAAATCAATCAATTGATTTAAAACAAAGCAGGCGAGAGAACCTTTAACGAGCTCGACTCGCGTTTAAAATCACTCCTTTGTTCCTTTACGACGACTCTCTATACCGCCCATTTCAATCAGCAGCCATTGTCTCTTTTGATGACGACGACGAAGACATCAAAGCGGCAAAACGGCTTGAATGGGCGCCTCGCACACACGCTCTCGAAGTTCCTTTGAGGAAAAAATTTTTAGCGCAAATCATAGCGGTGAGAATCATAGCGGTGAGAGTTGCTCATTTAGAAATATCCATGCAAGGGCTGAAATTTAAGAACAGAAACGCTGCAAAAAAAGGCTGGTGCAGCGTTTCGCTTTTAGACTCAAAATTTGCGCAAACGGCCCCTTGGTGGTTGCGGCCTCTTTTTCTCACACTTGTTTTCTCTCTCGCTCATTGTTTATTCTCTTCTCTACAAAAAATGTGCACATCATATTTTTCAGCACGTGAAATTAAAAGGTGAAAAACATAGAAACTAAAACATCTGTTTGGGGAAATTTTAATAAAAAGCTGTCTAAAATTTTTAATATCCACTGAAAAGAATTAAAATAATAATAAAAGATATGAAGAAATCTGACTTTTCCTAGTTGTAAAATATATATATATTTTTTTTAATAAAACAATTTTTACATTGAGGAAAAGCCCGACTTCATTATTTCCATGATCATCTCCTTGAGTGTCAAGTTGTTGATCTTATACTTAATTTTAAAATTAAACGCAAATAAATTAGTAATTCAAATTTCAAAATAAGTATACTAATAACTAAATAATAATATAATTTTTTTATAATTTTTTGTGTTAACTCTATTGTTAATTATTTTTGCTTTGATATTAAACCATTATAACTTCAATTAGAGGCGCAATTTCTTAATGAATCAATAATTGGATAACGAACTTGTTTTGATATTATGTGTTGATGTCAAATGAAAGTTTAAATTTTATATAAAAAAATCCATCAATTTACTTTAATCTTAGTTTCTAGATGGAAACTTAAAATTACATTTTCCCCGCTTCTTCCTTCTATCGTGAATTGAATCTGGCCCGAATATATTTTTACTCAATCGATAACGTATTTTTCAGGCGTGATGTGCCGTCGATTAAATTTCCGCCTGGCGTCGTCGCCAGAGGCGCGAGCGGGGATGCCAAATTTCGGCGGCGTCGGCCGACTGCATTAATTTCGCCAGACGCCGGCGGCTCATTTCGAAAGCAAATCGAAGTGCTGAGACTGCGGCTGCTTTTTTCTATCAATCGGCGGCGGCACACAAAGAGCGACGTGCACCGAGGCCGTCGTCGTTGCACGCGCAGGAAATGGAAATGGTTATTGAGGTACGAGGGAGAGAGAGAAACCTCTGGGGAAAATGATCAGCGAGCCAATTTGCGGTTTTATACACACGTATGTGTTCCCGTTGGTCACAAAGTCGCCGGTCAGCCAGCCAGGATTAGGCCCAGGGTGCAGCACAAAGAGCCTTTGCGAGAATGTTTGGTTTGCAACACCGGCTGCAGCTTTTCGCCAGCCCTTGTTTGTCTAATTACGGCCGGTAACCAGTGGCACGCGCGCGCGTTTGATCGAAATTGGGCCTGATACAGGGTCAGCGTCAGCGGTCGGATTAAAACCCCTGCTTTTCAATCGAGCTGCATGTGTGCTGGAAATTCATTGCTGGTGATAAATAAAAAGTTGATTGGAAAACGGATTTTTTGGAAGGCTTTTTCCTCATTTATAAAAGATTGTTTTTATTCAAAAATCAATCATGTGCAAGAAATAAAAATCAGCACATTTTTTAACAAAACAATTCAAAACTTTAAAACTAACAAATACTAGAACATTCTTGTATTATTTGGCGAGCAGCGCGTTTGCTCATGAAATACGTTAGCATGAATGTCAATTTCTTCAAACAAAAGGGAATTTTTTTTGTTAAAACATTCATGTGAAAAAATTGGAATTTGACAGCAGATGCCAATTAATTTTTTTTTATCCAGATTTACTACAGTTTAAAAGTAATTTTAATGCGATTTCAAATCTAAAATATCACATAATAGGAATAAGGCTCTAGCATTTCAGAATTCCAAACATGATGGTTCTGGAAAGAATTGAACACTTTGCAAAAGATCTTTTTAATTGAACGTTGAAAAATTGAAGTAGGCGTCTTATTTAAATAATAGAAATCAAGAAATGTGTGAATCTGCATATTTGTTTGAAGGAGTTGACACTCGAGGAGATGATCATAGAAATGAAGAGATCGGGCTTTTCCTCGTTGCGGAAAAATTGTTTTTATCCAAAAAACACAAATGGCTCTACCAGTTTCGGTTAATTATTATGTTAAAATGTGGTGTTTTTCAATTTTGCTGATTTTTTGTATTTTTCGTGCTCATGAAATAGGGTAGACCGTGACTGAAACTGGTAGAGCCGTTTGTTTTTGAACAAAAACAATTTTTCTGCAACGAGGAAAAGCCCGATCTCTTCATTTCCACAATTTGCATATTGCCCAACATTACCTTCGCATTGCAATTTTATTTTAGTAATTCTCAAAATAATATCTTAATATTTTTATTTATTTTTTTTTTTTTATATAAAAATTGCGGTCTTCAGTGTCTTTACCGGCAATATTTATTTTTAAAGAATTATTCAGAATAATTAGATTTGAAACATTTTTGTAATTTTACGTTCGAGTACATAAATTAAAATTTTTGAATTATATTCTTAATAACTAAATTTCATTTGAGATTAGGATAAATTAGGAGCAAACTCTAAAGAACCACCACTGTGTATAAATATTACTATTTTACTATTCCGTGTAAAGCATTCCGCTTGTGAGTTAATATAGCAAAGTTTGAATATTTAAATAAACAAATAAAAATTATTAAACTTTATAAAATTTTAAACAATTACACTTTATTAAACTTAAAATGAAATAAAATTCTTTAAACTATAATTTTACCAATAATCTTAAAAATATAATAATTAATCTTCAAAAATTGAAATTTAATGTATTGTTTAATTTTTTGCATAAAAATATGTCACTTTAAAATAATTTGAATAAAATTCTTGCAATGTTATGATGTCTGACTTTCGTGTCGCAAAAATTGCGATTTTTTCAATACTCTTTTGTCTATAGGCAATGATTGAAAACCATATCAAGTGCAAACTGTGCGAAGGCAAACAGTGATATCAATTTGCAAAGTCAACACAGAGGGATCTCGACAGGCATCGTTAAACGGTAGACACCTTGTTGGGCTGTCTGAATGACATCATAAATAAACTTATCAATCAGGTTAAGGTGTCATTGTCACCGCCGAGAAACACAGCAGCCGCTAAGCCAAACGCCTTTTTTATCGTTTCTCGTCCTTCGTATTTTATTTATTTATTATTCACAGCATTATTCATCGCTCCATTTCACTCTGCATGCTGTTTCCTCTCGGCAGATTTTCTGGCTCTGCCAGGCGAAAATAATGAGACACCATCAAGGCCGGGGCAAATTTAATAAAGACGGCGCCTGTTCAAAAAGTAACGCGGCGTAATGTGCAGCCGTAAAAGCTCGGATGGAAATTTGATGGTTGGTCTCTCTTTCTTTCTCTCTCTCGCGAGCAAGCGGGTGATAAAGATACGCAAACACACGCATATCATAGGAAGTAATTATACGCTCGGGAAAAAAATGAGTCAGAGGATGATGAAATATTTCGCACGACTTAATTATAATCCGAAGACGGTGTTTATTTCTCGTTAGCGTCTCGTTAACTTTTCTCGAGAGGACACTCACAACAGAACTTGCAATTCCCGCCGGGAGTCGAAATGCATCTCGCACTTCGTTAGAGCCACGGACGCTGTGTTTTTGCCGACACGTTCCGGCCAGAGCGGGGTAATTTTACGGCAATTACCTTCGCAATTTCGGTTCCGCTCACGCTCTGTGCTCACCGGCGCGTCAGCTAAATACGCGCCGGGCAAACGCGTGGGCAAACAATTTGTGTTTTTCCAGGTAGTAAATAAAGCGAGACAAATCGCGAATGTTCTAACTAAAAAGCCGATTATCGGTGGAATGGTGCTGGATGTGACATTGTTTGTTTTAAAAACTGATTGCTTGGCAAATTGCTCTAGTTCCAA